GGAGGGGGGAGCACCCGGAGACCGAACCCGACGAGGAGCCCTCTCCGCCACGGCCCCCAGCCCTTCGCGGCGGATGGGTCACCTCCCCAGACCCCCGACGCCATGACTGCTTCACGACACGGAACCTCCGAAGCCTCCACCTATTGAGCCCCTGGACTGGCACTTCATCCTGCGTCGTTTTTGACGGTCCTGGGGCCCAGCGAGGGCCCCGAGATAGGAGAAGAAGAAGGAGAGCTCTTCCCTGGCGCGGAGCGCGCCAGGGAGGGGGGGCCCAGTGCGGATCCAAGAGATCCGCGCGGAGCGCCAAAAGTGTATGTTTATGGCGCCTTTCTTCTTTCGCCTGGAGGCGGCTTGCTTGGGGTCTCTGGTGGCCTCCTGAGGTCGCCTCGAGGCCACGCGACGCTCACGACGCAAGGGGGGCCCGGGCTTCGGTCGGGCATGTCCCCTACAGGCGGACTTTGGACAAAAAAACAAAAAACAAAAACAAAATGCCAACAATGGTCAAATATACCATTTTGTTTGTCTATTTTTGACAATCTGGGAATCTGTTTTGAATCTTTACGATTTCAGGAAGGGAAAAAACACACAGACACAATTAATCGTCGATCCCCAAGAACATATAGGAACATATTGGAATTTTGGGGGAAAACAGAAATTCCGAACATATGGAAAAATATGGGGAATCTTTCTATTTGTGTAATTATTTGTGTGTCCCAGGGCCCCTTCACTAGTTTTCGTCCCAAAACCGCCTGCAGAGGGACAGGCCCGACGGAAGCCCGAGCCTGGCGTCCCCCGACCTGCCGGCCTGCCGGCCCCCGCGCCTGGCTCAGGCGCATGTCCTTGCCGGTCCTGACGCGCCTCCAGCGAGAGTAGAGCTCGAACGCCTCGCCGCGCGCACCGGGCAAACCAGGAAGCACCGATTCGGGGAACGAGCAATGGCATAAACAGAAAAAAACTTGGAGGTCCGCGCGGAATTCTCGGATCCGCGCTGAACCCCCCTGGCGGCGCCTCCGGCGCCGCCCCTGGCGCGCTCCGCGCGCTATGGAGGGGGTCCAGCGCGGATCCAAGAAATCCGCGCGGACCTCCGAGTTTTCATGTTTGTCATTCTTCGTTCCCCTACCGATACCGCTACAGTCAACCCGTATCATAAGGATGCGCGGCAAGGATGCAAGGGCCTTGGAGGGCCACGGTAGCGTGTGTCAAACGCCAGCGAGAGTCGCTGAGGATGAGCGGTGGGGGCAAAGATGCAAGGGTACCCTTGGGAAGGTTGCTCATCCTTACTATGCTGGTAAACTGTACTCCCCAGACCTCTCCCAGGGTGCGTCCTGACCGGAATCTCGAGGCGAGTCCAGCTGTGGCGAGGCCCAGAAAGGCGAGAACGGGGGAGGGGTAGCGGTAACGGCACCTTTTCCTCCTCTGACGCACGGCTCGCCAACCCGAGGCAACGCGAATGCAGCTCGCGGTCTATCAAGATCGGAACCGGCCCCCCCCCTCCCCGCACCCCTTGCGGCGCATCTCTGGAGGCATCCTCCAGGGGCCCCGAAAGGAGCAACACCTCAAGAGCGTCACCCCCCCCCCTCCTCCCCTGGTTCCTCCTCCATATGTCTCTCTGCCTTCACCTCCTTGCATGGGATACATAACCATTGGGTAAGAACCCAGGGTCTGGAAGCTGGTGGAGCTCTTATCGCGGATTGGCCATGAACCACCGCGGCCCTCATCAGATAAGGAATCTTCCTGGATCGGAGGCATCCTGGGCACGTTCCTTGACGAAAGCCCCGACCGTATGTGACGCATCCTCGTCGCGCTACCAGACGTGTCAGAATCACGGGCTGGGCGTTGCGCCCGTACTGGTTGGAGTGTCGGTCGGCGAGTCTTCTGCGTTATGGCTTGTCGTGGAGTCTGAACTGTTACATCTTAACTCAAGCATGTCCAACGGTTGCATGGATGGAGGGCGGTTGGTTCTCATGTGGCTGTCGCCATAGCGCAGCGCACATGCCACATGCCTCGTCAAGGTCTCTGATAATTGCACGGCTGGAGACACATCGATTTTCAAGATGTGGCTCTCGCAATATCGCCGTGCACATTCCTTTTCAACGCTTCCGACAGCTACGCGAATGGATGCGAGGTGGATCTCAAAATCGGATTCCCGCCGTAGCGCTCCACACGCTCTGCTTTAAAGTGTTTCTGCTCGAAGTGAGACTATCCCTCGACACTTGAGCTGTGCAACACGTGCACGAACGGAGGGCGGATATCTTTGAAACCCGGGCTCAGTTTGAGCACTTCCCTTACCGCCATGGTCGAACTTCGCTGTCCACTCCCAGAGCTTGACGGAGGGAGGGCGGCTCCTTCTCGAAGCGGGGATCTTGCCCGAGTGGCAGGCCAACGGAAAGCTCACCCATGAAGGAGCCTCTGCCACAATGCACAAGACAGGGCCGTGTCGGGACCCGTGGGGGGACGATGGGCCTCTGTGAGGGCTCGCCGCGCTTCGCAGCATAGTTTTTCTGGCAATAGCGCGCTTGCAGTCGGGCTGACGATCACGTGCGCAAACTGTCAGTAAAAACACACCAATTCAGCAAATCCTTCGGTGAGGGCGCGAAGCCAGAACCACAATCAGCGTGCAGGGCGACCCCGCCGACACCATGGGGGCGGCCAGAGCGTATCCCAGTGCACCCAGGCCGCGATTCGCAACATCGCTGATGCATCCAAGGATTACTCTGGTCCTCCTCCTCCTCGTCCGGCTGCTGCTCTTTGGCGTTACTTCATGGGGGGGGGGGGGGGCAAGATTATCGGGGGGGAAGAGACGTGCACAGTTCGCGCATCTCGAGGGCCGCAGGGGGCAGAGCCTTAAAAAGGCACCCTTCCTGCAACCGGCGATCCTATCCCCCATTGATCGCGCCCCACCAGTGCGAAATGCCCGATGCCCCCAGGAATCCGATATAGATGTGTGTGTATATATATACATACATACATACATACATCTATGTGTATATATATATATGTATATGTATGTATGCATGTGTATATATATGTATATATATATATATATATATATATGTGTGTATGTAAATATTCTTGTTCAATACGAGGCCCCTGGAAATACATAGCTTCTCCCCAGGGCGGGTTCCTCATCGGGAGTCGATGTCTGACAGTCCTGGGGCCTGGCGAGGGCCCCCGGAGGCCGAACACGGCCAAACACTTCCCGCAGTTTTTTTTTCTGTTCGGAACGCGAGCCTGTCTGGGTACTCGCACCGGAAGAGGGCCCCGAAGCCCGCGCCACCCGCGCGCGGCGCGCGCGGGGGGTGTGAGGGGGGGAGGCCTGCGACCATAGCGTCTCGCACTGGTCGCCGAGGCCGCCCTTGACCTGCAGTTTCGAGCGCCACCGCGGAGGGGAGGGTTGAGGCTTGGCGGGGAAGGGAGGACTGTCCAGGATCCAGAGCCTGGAAGAACAGACACTTGCGTGAACATCAACTGCAAGAGCTCCGCGTAAATCTTCTGGATCGGCGCTGGGCCCCCTGGCAGCGCCTCTGGCGCCCCCTGGCGCGCTCTGCGCTTCCGGCGCCCTCTGGCAGCGCCTCGGGGTCCAGCGCCGATCCAGGACATTCGCGCGGACCTCCGAGAGCGTATGTTAATGCCATCTGTTGATCCTCGAGAGGTTGAAGGTTTCAGAATCCTCCTTCCTCCTCGTTCCCTAGTGATTGCAGCACCGCCGCGCTGGCAGCAGGCGGAAGCAAAACTAGACACCCTCCCTGGAAGGATGCGTTCATCCCTCCCTCGCTCCTGCTTCCTCGCCCCTCCCTCCTACGTCCCTCCCGTCGGCCCCTCCCTCCCCCTCGTCCCTGGCTATTATTCATGGACATCAGCGGAACAGGCATCATCAAATAACAAGAACACATACAAAAACTACAGCAACATGAACGTAAAGTCGCCGAACACATCCGAATCGTGAACTTGAGTTGGCGCAGCTCGCGGAAGAAAAGGGCGCTTCTATTGTCCTACACCTGATCTTCCTCTTTTTCCCCCCTCAACTGTAAATCCTACCAGCCCTCTTGGCGTAGGTGGTTTAAAGAGTTTCGGCTTCTCCCTGGACTGTTTCTAGTTAGCAAACGCACTCTTCCCCAGTGGACCGACAGTTAACCAAGAGTAATGAGGGCACCCCCGCCCCACCATCCATTTTGAAAATTATCCTGGCGAAGGGCCAAACCAGATGCAGTTGTGAATACCGCCGTTGTGAGAACTGCCTTCGGTGGAGCTCTCTATGGGCACGAAGCGCGCGAAGGGTGCGCCGCAATGGGGCGGAGCCGCCATGCGGGCGCTGCCGCTGGGACTTTCGGTGGAGTTTCCTATGGGATCACGGAACGCATGCAAGGGGGGAGCATGCAGATTATACCACTGGAGCCTGCGGTGGAGCTCCCTATGGGGCCACGGAACTTGCGAAAGGGTGTGCCGACATGAGGGTGGAACCGCATGCCGACCATGCCACTGGAGCCTTCGGTGGAGCTCCCTAAGATGTGCCAAAGTGGAGGGGGGGCGGCATGCGAACCATTCCAATAAGGCCTTTGGTGGAGCTCCGTACGCACAGGGCCACGAAACGTGTGAGGGGTGTGCCACATTGTGTGTGGGGAGGTGGGGGGGGCATGCGAGCCTTGCCACTGGGGCCTTCGGTGGAGATCCCATTGGGCCACGAAGCATGTGAGGGGTGTGCCAAAAAGGAGGGAGGCAGCATTGGAACCATGCCACTGAGGTCGTCGGTGGGCCACGCAAGATGTGCCAAAGTGGACGGGGGCGCGGCATGGGGCGCGGCATGCGAACCATGCCGCTGGGGCCTTCAGTTGAGCTATAGGTGGGGCCACGCAACGTGCGAGCGGTGTGACAACACGGAGGGGGGGGGGCGGCATGCGGACCATGCCGCTGGGGCCTTCAGAGGAGCTCCATATGGGGCCACGCAAGGCGCGAGGGGTGTGCCAAAGTAGAGAGGGGGGGGGCGGCATGCGGACCATGCCACTGGGGCCTTCGGTGGAGCTCCGTACGGGGCTACGAAACGTGGAGGGGTCTGCGAATGTGGATGGGGGGGCGGCATGCGAACATGCCACTGGAGCCTTCGGTGGAGCTCCCCGCAACGCGCGAAGGGTGTGCCAAAGTGGAAAGGGACGGCATGCGAACCATGCCACTGGGGTCTTCGGTGGAGCTCCCTCTGGGGCCACGAAACGTGTGAAGGGGGGTGCCGACATTGAGGGGGGGCGGCATGCGAACCATACCAGTGGGGTCTTCGGTGGAGCTCCAAAGGGGCCACGAAACGTATGACGGGTGTGCCAGCATTGAGGGGGGCGGCATGCGAACCATACCACTGGAGCCTTCGGTGGAGCTCCCTATGGGGCCACGGAACGAGTGAGGGGTGTGCCAACGTGAGGGGGGTGAGAAGGAAACGCGGGCTCTCTCTTCAAAACGAGGACCCAACACCAAATGATGTTTGGAAAAAACAAAATGTGGAAACAATGGGTGGGACAGAATACTGGGTCATGACCGGGGGGCAAGAGGGCGCTGTGTTGCTTTAACAAGGACGGCGGGGCTGCCCGGAGATTTCCTGCTTTGAGCAGGGCCAGTGCCCCTATCAAAAGCTATCCTGAAGAATGGCCCAACGATGTGCAGTTGTGAATGCCGTCGTGGTGGGTATCGCCTTCTGTGGATCTCCTTGTGAAGGGTGCACGGACATGGGGCGGGGCCGCCATGCGGACTCTGCCACTGGAGCCGCCAGAAAGGCGCGGAGGTCAGCCGAGCCGGTTGACATGCTGATGTAACCCGCTGCGGCAGGCATTTCGTCGTCGACGACAAAACAACGACACGGCGGCGAGACAACGAGACAACGACGAAACAACGACGACAACGAGGACAACGACAGAGACGACGACCCCGACGACGACGACGACAACGAAACGAGGTGGAGACACCGACACGACTACGATGACGACGACGGCGGCGACACCGGTACGACGACGAAACAACAAGACGGTGAGGGACAACGAGGCAAATACGACGGCAAGGAGACGATGACGAGACAATGGCACGACTACGACAACATCAGTACAACAACGGAACGACGAGACGATGACGACGAGACACGACAACGACGCTCCTCCGCCTCCCCTCCCACCCCTGCCCCCCGCCCCCTCCGCGTCCTCCCTCGTCCACCGTCGGACCTCCGAAGCTGAGACGACGACAGCGGAGTACGCGAAGACGACGACGACGGCACCATCGGCGGCGACGGCGATGACGGCGACGGCGATGACAGAGACGACAGCGACGGCGATGAAGATGACGGCGATGATGCTGGTGATGATGATGGTGATGCTGGTGATGATAATGATGGTGATGATGGGGATGAGGATGATGATGACGAGCGGCTGACAACGGGCGAGGCGCTGGATTCGGCGCGCGGGAGTCAGGCAGCTCCTGGGGCAGAGTTGAAGTGGAGTCCCCGCGACGCGTGCCAGTCGCCCCAAGATGGATCCTGCGACGCGCGCGAGTCGTCCGCTTCGCGAGGCCGAAAGGCTCAGAAGTCCCCGGCCTTCGGCCTTCTGAACAGACTTTTAAGCCCTCCCCGAATCAGGTGTGCAGCCGATCTCCTGCTCGACACCCGAGGGGCGCGAGCATGACCGGCCTCGCCGAGATCTGGAACGATCGTTCTTCCTCGGCGGATGCGGCCGCCGACATTCATGCCAGTTCCAACTGGCGGCCTTTCACCGTTACCGTCCCTCACTCTTTCTCTCATCGCTCTGTGGCAGAACGTTCGGAACACTTCGCTGGACGGACTTGCCGGCCTACGATGAGGAGACGTACAGAAGGACGTACAGAGACGATCAAGTGGGATGAGTGCATACTCAAGAACTATACCCGAGGAGCCGAACACGACACGGACAGTGCAAGACACAAACATTGGCAACCCCGTGAATACACCTGGGCGAGGCATGCATGTGCCTCCGTGTATCTGTCCAAGATGATGGCCAGCAACATGTTCAGCATGATGTTCACCACCTCAGAACTTACACAGCACGCGCTCCGCAAGAGAACGGGGCAGTCAACAAGGTAAGAGGGCTGCGCACGTGCTACTTCGTGCCATCGTTCGGACGTCCATTCCCCGTGCATGATTTGGCTTCGTGCGCGATTGTTCTCGCAAGATGGCCCAAAAGGCTCCTTGATGGCCCTCGCCACACGTCCCTGCGATACCAAGACTTGTCCCGTTCTCTCGCGCCTGGGTCACCCAACTTTGTTCGGCGGTGGACAAGCCTCCCTTTAGTATACCTCCCCTTAGTGAAAACGGCCTGGGACCGAAACCGACGGACCTGGACCCGCAAGAATGACGGCCGCGACGCCCTCTCGCGAACCGAAAACGGCCAATTCCTTAATCGACGTGTAAGGGTAGGAGGTCTATCCACCTCCGATTTGTGCTTCGCAAGGCGCGACGCGCGAGTAGACTCGCGCCCTCGCGCGGCCCAGGCGGAGACGCGCGGCGCGAAGCCCAGCCAGCTCGGACCCCTCCAGCGAATCCACAGTGCTCCGCGCAAAAATCCGTGCCAACATGAAGCCCCGGAACCCCGCCCTGGTGGCCCCGCTGGCCTCCGGGGCCTCCAGAAACACCCAGGGGCCCTCAAACCGACGACGCCCACAGAGGCCCGAGACAGGCCACGGAAGGCCAAACGCCTCGAGAGGCCGCAGAGGCCCGAGAGGCCACAGAGGCGGAGTGGCCCGCAGGATCTCTGCCGAGCATCCAGAGGCTCGCAGAGGCCCGAGAAAAGACAAAACACGTCGATCAAGCTCCCTCCCGAGCATCCACAATCGGAAACCCTCTCGATCCTTCGATCCTTTGAGGGTGACTTCGCTTTGAAGAGACAACGCTGCGCGTTCTCCTCCTCCTCCCCCTCCCTCATTCCATCCCTGCCTCTGCTCTCCGCATCAGTCAGTCTACGATGTGGGCACACCCCTAACACGTCAGGGGCTACACCGAAGGTCCCACTGCTACCGCCCGCATGCGTCCCCACCACCCAATACAGCGTTTTGTAGCCCCATAGGGAGCACCATCGAAGGCCCCAATGGAAACGCCCGCATGCGTCCCCACCGCCCAATACAGCGCTCCGTGGCCCCATAAGGAGCTCCACCGAAGGTCCCAAGGCTACCGCTCGCATGCGTCCACCCCCCACCTAATACAGCGTTTTGTGGCCCCATATGGGGGCTCCATCGACGGCCCCAATGCTACCACCCGCCACCCAATACAGCGCTCCGTGGCCCCATAAAGAGCTCCACCGAAGGTTCCATTGCTGCCGCCCGCATGCGTCCCCCCACCCAGTGCAACGCTTTGTGGCTCCATAAGGAGCTCCAACGACGGCCCCAGTGGTACCACCCGCATGCGTCCCCACCACCCCGTACAGCGTGTCGTAGCCCCATAGGGATCTCCACCGAAGGTCCCACTGCGAGCGCCTGCATGCGTCCCCACCACCAAGTACAGCGCTTCGTGGCCCCATAGGGAGCTCTACCGAAGGCCTCAGTGCTACCGGTCGCATGCGTCCCCCACCCAGTACAATGCTTCGTGGCCCCATTGGGAGCTCCACCACCAAGTACTGCGTTCTACCGCCCGCATCGTCCCCCCCCACCCAGTACAGCGTTTGGTGACCCCATGGGGGCTCCACCGAAGGTCCCAGCGCTACCGCCCGCATGGGCCCCCCCACCCAATACAAAGATTCGTGGCCCCATAGAGAGCTCCGCCGACGGCGCCAGCGGCACCGTCCGCATGCGTTTCCCCTACCCAGTACAACGCTTCGTGGCCCCATAGGGAGCTCCACCGAAGGCCCCACCACCCAGTACAGCGTTCTACCGCTCGCATGCGTCCCGCCGCCCAGTGCAGCGTAGGTGACCCCATTGGGAGCCCCACCGAAGGTCCCAATGCTACCGCCAGCATGCGTTCCTTCCACCCAGTGCAGCGCCCCGTGGCCCCATAAGGAACTCCACCGAAGGTCCCACTGCGACCGTCCACATGCGTCCCCTCCACCCAGTGACGCGCTTCGGAGCCTAGAGGGAGCTCCACAGACGGCGCCAGTGGCACTGTCCGCATGGGTTACAGCGCTTCGTGGCCACATAGGGAGCCCCACCGACGGCCCCAATGAACCCGCCCGCATGCGTGCCCCGCACCCAGTATAATGCTTCGTGGTCCCATAGGGAACTCCACCGAAGGCCCCAGTGGAACTTTCCGCATGCGTGCCCACCACCCAGTACAGCGCTTCTAGGCCCACCGACGGCGCCAGTGGCACTGTCCGCATGGGTTTCCCCCACCCAGTACAGCGCTTCGTGGCCCCATGGGGAGCTCCACCGAACGTCCCACTGCGACTGTCCGCATGCGTGTCCCCCACCCAGTACAGCGCTTTGTGACCCCATCGGGAGCTTCACCGAAGGCCCCAGAAAAACAGTCCGCATGCGTCTCCCCCATCCAGTACAGCGCCTCGTGGCCCCATAGGGAGCTACACCGACGGCCCCAGTGAAACCGCCCGCATGCGTGGCTCCCACCCAGTACAGCGTTTCGTGGCCCTATAGGGGGTTCCACCGACGGCCCAAGCGCCATCGCCCGCATGCGTCCCCCCCACCCAGTACAGCGCTTCGTTGCCCCATAGGGAGCTCCACCGACGGCGCCAGTGGCCCCGTCCGCATGCGTGTCCCCCGCCCAGTGCAGCGCTTCGTGGCCCCATAGGGAGCTCCACCGAAAGCCACAGTGGCACCCTCCGCATGCGTCCCCCACCCATTACAGCGCTTCGTGGACCCAGGGGGAGTTCCACCGACGGAAATACCCACCACTGCGGTGCTCACAACTGCATGTCTCCAGTCTCCACGAAGGGACACCGCGCGCAAACGTCGAGACACTCTGGCAGAAACGGACGAGACGAGGGCGCGGCCCGAGGCGCTCATGTTGCATGCTCGGAGGACCCTGTCTGTCCCAAAGACCTCCCAGCAGGGGTCCGGGTGTGTGTGGGGTCGGAGTGTCGCGCCGCATCGGCGATGCATCGGCGGCATGGAGAAGATTGGGCTCCACCTCGAGCCGCATCGCCCATTTTAGGGCGCTGCGGCGCTCACTCGCCGACCCCACCTGCTCGGACCCCTCTTGGGAGGCCTGGATTCCCACATCTGCGAAGCATACCGTCGGGCTGCTGACATAAGAACGATCCATGAGGAACGAGGCCCCTTGTTGGACCCCGGAGCGCCTGCGTGCACGAGGAGGGCTGGGGGACCACTCATCGCAGAACCTCAGGGACACCGGGCCCCTTCCGAAGCCAAACTGCTCCTCATTTCAGCGTCTGGACTGTAGCTGTGATGCTACTGTTAGGTCAGGCATTTCCTCCTACAGGCGGCATTGTGGACGAAAATAACAAATAGCCAACCAGTATCCCGAAATAATCAAAAATGATAGAAGCATCGTCCCCATGCTACTTTGTGACTTTTGAGCTTTTCTCATGTAGAGGGACACGCGCGATGTAGTGCGACTGTTGCGGATGCCACGGCACTGGACACTCTAACAATCCGATCATTGGATTAAAGATGTGTTTGAAATGTGTACAACATGTTACAAAAACATGGTTCGTACATGTTTAAACATTTCTTAATATATATATATATAAAACATATTTGAAACATATTTTAGACATCTGGAAAGTATTTGGCAACATGATTCCTCTCCACTTATCGACTTCCACAATGCTGCTGTCAGCGTGTGCCCCGCGACCCCGCTCGGCCCTCCACATCGCGCGGACGGCCTCGCCGGCGCGGGCGGCCCCGCCGCCGAGTGGGGCGGCACCCCCTTGACAGGACCAGGTGGAGCCCCATCCGAGCACGAGCCCGCAGAAAGGGAAGAGCCCCGGGTGCGTCGAAGAGAGGGGGGGGCCAGGAAGAGTAGGCAAGCGCGCTCCGCCACTCGCAGAGCCACTGCTCGCAAACGGCCTGGATCCGCCGCGGAGGACTTGCGCTGCATTACACCGAAGCAGACATGCGGTTTCCGGGCGTTTGCGAGTAGGCACGTTGCGAGTAGGGCAGGTCCGTGTCGTGCCGACTTCGGCGTTGGTTTCTGACACCGCGGGGATCGTTCAACCTTGAACGATCGGCCGTTTTCGAAACGTCCAATCGTTCAACATCGACCGATTCTGGGTCGCCAGCGGCGTTCAACCTTGAACGCCCACGCTGGGGTCGCCGCTGGTCGACACGACGCAAACCTACCGTAGTGGAGCGCGCTCGGCGAAGCGAAAGAGAAGGGGGGGGGTAGGCACGTTGCGAGCAGTGGAGCGCGCTCGGCGAAAGAGAAGAGGGGATGCGCGTCGTGGTCCGAGGCGTGTGCGCGGCAGAGCCGGGGCCAGGGGCCGGGGAGCGCGCAGGGCAGGAGAAGAGATCGGCCACACGAAGGGAGCGGCCCAGGGCCAGAGCAGAGCGGCCTCTGGTGCGCGGCCTACGGGGGGCTCCTCCTCCTCCTCCTCCTCCCCTTCCTCCCCTTCCTCCCCTTCCTCCCCCTCCTTTCTGTCCTCCCCTTCCTTCCCTGCCTCCCCTGCCTCCCCTGCCTCCCCTTCCTCCCCTTCCTCCGCCCCCTCCCCCCCCTCCCCCCCCCCTTCGGCCCCTTCCGCCCCGTCCGCCTATTCCTCCCCTTCCGCTTCTCCTCCTCCTGTGGGGACACCACCCGGCGCGCAGGCCGCTGCCCTCGCATCGCATTCCAGGATCGGGGGGCCCCCAGGACCAAGGCCACGCTGGCGAAAGGTCACGCTTAGGGGGCAAACAAACCTACCTCGCTTTTGACCACCCTCGCTTCCAAGAGATACCAAACGATGCCAAACTACGGCATGTACTGGTCAGGCCGCTTGACGAGGAGGCGTATGGTGTGACTTGGTTTTGCCTGGAAGCGAAAGCGGGGTAGGTAATTCACGCTCGCGTGTAGGTCGAGGAGAGGGCAACGATTTCTGAAGGATGCCATGGCCTGGGCCAGGGCGTCCACCCCCTCCTTGGACGCCCCCGGGAAGTGCGACCAAATGGCGTCGGGCTGAAATCTGGGCACTGCCACGCTAACGGCGGTCATTGTCAACGCCGATGTTGGGAAATCGGTTTTTGCGACGCCGAACTCGCGCAGAACAAATCGTTGGAAAACACGAATAACGCTTTCTTGCAACTGGGTTGGCCACGACCCCCCCCCCACCTGCAATACCGAAACCTAAATCGCCGTGACCTACATCGCCGTTAGCACATCTACGGTCTAAGGGAAGGAGGAGGGTTCCACCATCAGCATGAGCGAGCCAAATCCCTCGGAAATCTCAAGAGACCTCTCGATGTCTCCACAAGTCCCTGGGGTTCTCCGAAACTGATCTGAACTGGAGGTCCCTCGAGGTCCCTGGAGGCCTGCGGGGGAGCCCGGAGGTCAAACACATAACCAAACGCGTTTACAATCATCGATCCGCGATCCTCGAAGACTTAGGATCCTCTCGACAAGGCTCGAGAGAATGTCTTCGCTTCGTTTTATGTTCGTTGTCCTTGGTTCTGTCCTCGTTCCGCCCTCGCTGCAAAACGAAGTCAAAAAACGAAAACCCGGTCCACGAAATCGGCACATAACACTGTGTGGCTCGAGCCCTGCCCCTCGATCCTTCGACGCCTCGCAGAACCCCGGGGAAGGGCGCAAGGGCCCACCAGCAGCATGAACGAGACGAACCAGAGCACGGTATCCAACCGGCCCACCTGGACCATCTCCTGCGCCGGCGGCGCCGCGAAGCCGTGGCAGCGGGCGCGCGTGCGCCGCGCCCGGTGCCGCTGCTGGTCCTCCACCCCCACACCTCTGACCAGACTGGGAGGCACATCGGGGGGGGGGGAGCCTACCCCCCACCCGGGCTTCCTCCCATCACCCACGCAGGGGCCAGCGACAGGACCACCCGCCCAAATTCAAACTTTCGCCCTTCTCTTCTGCCCCCACTCCCTCCCCACCCACCCCCGGCGGGCGAGCCGGGCGCGCTTTCCTGTTCGTTGCGCCAGGCTTGTCATTGTTCGCCCTGCGGCCAGGTCTGAGGAGCGGTCGAAGTAATGCCAAAAAAGGTGTCCATCCTCCTCCTCGTCCTCCACGCCCTCCTCTCGGCGGCGCGCCGAGAGGGGACTTGAAAGGGGCAGGCCATTTTCAGAAGGCGGCGGGGCTTCTCAGAAGCCCTCCGACCATCTATCAAGTCCTCTGTGGCTTCGGATAGATGGTCATGGCCCGCCACCTCTGCCTTCCCCTGAGCTCCTCTTCTCCCTCATCCTCTACCCCCTTCCCTCTCGTCCTCGCCATCTTCGCCCACCTCCCTCTCGTCCTCGTCCTCCGCGCCCACATTCCGCTTTCGCCTCCGCCTTATCACCACCACAATTGTCATCATCGTCTTCGCCGCCATCAACGTCGTCGTCCTCCTCCTCCTCCTTCTCCTCCTGATCATCATCATCGTCCCCCCTCGGTTGCTGCGATGTCAGCGATCCGGCAGGCTGGTGGCGAATGTGGCAGCGGATGAAACAGACCGCGAGCGCCACCCAGTCCTGCCCCACCCTTTCTGGGACCGTTCCCAAGTGTGGCTGGTGGCGACAGTGGCAGAGGATGAAACAGACCTCGAGCGTCACCCAATCTGCTTCATAAGTGTTCGCTCTCTGGCCTCCATCTTCCGCTGGCCTCCCCTTGGATTTCCCTTGGATGAGGTGCTAGCAGCGTGGTGGTGTTGGCCCACGGCAAACTTGTACGTTCAGTGCCCCTGCCGATTGCCGGTAGAAGGGGCGAGGCTTCATGCTCGGGTTCCGTCTTGCGTGGCGGCGCAGGCAGTGGCTCGTGCTGCGGCGCGGGCAATGGCTCGGTCTGCTCAGCAAGGCCGTGCGTGTGACTCCGCCCTCCGCCTCGTTCTCTTGGATCAGACGCACCCTCCTTTCAGGAGTCCCCCCCACAGCGGTGGGGGTATCATTGTCCACGTTCTCACGCCACGCCAGCCTGGAGTGTCCAGCCTGGATTTCTTCTGGGAGGAGGCGTCGTCCTCCAAGAGTGTACGTCTTGGCAGAGAGGTTTAAGTAGAACATCCTTATCATCATCGTAATAGTTATCATCATCATCATCGCCATCATCGTCGACTTCCTCCTCATCCATTACTACCATCACCATCGGTGTCGTCGGCGTCGTCGCCACAAACATCGTCGTCGTCATCACCATCACCATCACCATAACCATCACCCTCCACCACTTCACCATCATCGTCATCATGAGCATCATCATGCTCATCATCAGGATCATCATCACCACCATCACCACAATCAGCATCATCATCATACTCATTATCATATTCATCATCATCACCATCACCACGAACACCATCAACATCTTCAACGTCGTCGTCGTCGTCATCAACAGTATTATCATCGTCGCCATCGTCGTCGTCATCGTCGTCATCACCATTATCAGTATCAGTATTGCGATCAAGGTCATAATCAACAACATCATCACCATCACCATAGTCATATTCATCTTCGTCACCATCATCTCTCATGACAAGCATCGTCAGTATCGTCGTCGTCCTGGTGATCATTGTCACTACAATCATCATCATCATCATCATCATCATCATCATCATCATCATCATCATCATCACCATCATCATCATCAGCATTATCATCAACATCATCATCAGTAACATCATCGTCACCATCCTCATCATCATGAGTTTCGCCATCACCATCGTTGTCGTCGGCATCGTCATAGCCACGGAATTCGTATTCGTTATCATCACCACCACCATCATCATTAACATATTCGCCAGCACTACCACCATCCGCATCTTAACCAGTGTCATCACAATCGATATCGTCGTCATCATCATCGTGAGTTGCATCGTCATCATCGTCGTAAGCGCCATCATTCCACCATCACCATCGCTGTCGCCGGCGTCGTCACAACCACCAGTTTCATCGGTGCCGTCCCCGCCATTGACAACAACACTACCAATTTTGTCGTCATCACAATATTCACCAGTCTGCGCCATCATCATCATTATCATCAGCATCACCAGTATCGTCGCCATTGTCATCGTCATCGTCATCGTCATCGTCATCATCATCATCATCATCATCATCATCATCATCATCATTATCATCAGCATCAGCATCAGCATCAACATCATCATCATCCATCATCATGCTCATGTGCATGATCATCGTGGGCATCGCCATCATTAGCATCAATGTCATCAACACCATCACCAGATGTGTCAACATCCCACCATCGCCATCGTCATTGCCAACGTGATCGTCGTCACCGTCAGTACCGTCATCATCACCAGCAGCAGCATCATCACCACCATCATCAACACCAACGTCACCGTTGTCGTCATCATCAGCATCACCGTCATCACCATCGTCATCAACAACACCAGCAGCAGCATAATCGCCGTCCTGCTCTAGCTTGTCATGGTCTCTGCCTCTGGTTCGGGACTTTAGTGGGCCTGAGGCGTGCGGCCTGCGGCGGGCCTCTTGCTCTCTGCCTCCAAGGCGGTCGGCATTGGGGTGGTGCCCGCAGTGGCGGCAGCACCAGCATTCTGAAGAGCCATTGAACAGAGTCCGCCACCGCGCTTGCCGAGGCAGCGAGCCCAAGATGCGTCCATTCTGATGACCAAGTCGTCTTTGGCCTTCCAGGCAGAACATGTGCCCTAATACGAGGTTGGGGGAGGGACCTTCGCTGGACCCCCCTCCCCCCTGGGCGCCAACCCCCTCCCCTCCGCCCCAAGTGTCCGCCCGAGCGCGGTGGCGGGATCGCGCGGCAGCGCCGCTGATCCCTGTCCCCCCTGGTGGGGCCGTGGCTCCGCAGGCCGACTTACCCACGCAGGTGGGGATAGATGATCCCAGGCTGCCCCCCCACCCCCCCTCCCCCCCAGTGCTGATAGGGTCAAGCCCCCCCCTCCCCCCCCCCCTCCGCTAAATGGGTACGACCGCGAGCCTCGCGAAGGCCCCAGGAATGGGATCGTCCCCCCCCCCGTCGTGGGCCTGTGGGCGTGGCGTGGTGGAGTGTGGACGTTCCGCCGCTTTCGCCGAGGGCTTTCGTCGCCCTGTGGGCGCGGCGTGGTGGGATGCTGGTACCCCCCTCCCGCTGTGGGTTTAAAGTTGTTCGTCGTCCTCGTCGTCGTCGTCGCCGTCTTCCGTCGGCGCCGGCGCCGTCTTCCGTCGGTGTCGGCGTCGGCGTCGGCGTCGGCGTCGGCGTCGTCGTCGTCGTGGTCGTCGTCGTCGTCGTCGTCGCCGTCGTCGTCGTCGTCGTCCCCCCCATCCCATCTGGGGGGGAGGGTGCCCGTGGAACCCGGGTGGGCCTGTGAACCCTCGACCTAGGATCAGATGTGGTTGTTCCTTGGGATTTCGCGGGGCCAATCCCCATCAAGGACGGTGGGCTGGTGGGGCTGAGACTCCATGGTCCAATGGATGGGGATAGGTTAGACAGTGTGTCTCTTTAACGGAATGCGCCAACAACGGTGATGCACCGCATCCAAGTGTCTTTACGTGAGCTTCCTGGCAATAGGGCAGAATCCTGGCCACGGTGACCAAAACTGACCACGACGACGGGCAGACATTATCTTCGCATTCCGCAATGCGAGTGAGGAAGGTCCCTGGGAATTCCCAACGTCCCCGGAAGCTTCCGGAGTCCTACGGAGGCATTTGAAAAAGTCAGCAACTTCCAAAAGCTCGGAGAGGGGGATGCCCCATGCAGAGGAGGAAGAAGCCGCGGAGGAGAGGATGGCTCTTCTTGAGCAGGAGGGGGGGAAACCTTGCGGAAGATTCCTTTGAGGGATCAGGGCCCTGGCCCTGTGGAAACCTGGTCATGGCCCCTCCCTCGCATCTTAGAGAGCGGAGACAGAAATTACGAATGGGGCAACGACACGACGCCTCGAGAGGCTGGCGGGCCCGGCCGAGGCCGAGCAGTGCCGACGACGACGCCGGCGAAGACGACGCCGACGACGACGGCGACAATCAGAGCATGAAATTCTTCTCTCGCTTTCGCTTCCAGGCAAAACCAAGCCATACCACGCGCCTCCTCGTCAAGCGGCCTGACCAGCACAGGCCGCGATTTGGCATCGTTTGGCATCTCTTGGAAGCGAGGGTGGTCAAAAGCGAGGTAAGTTTGTTTTCCCCCGAGACAACGACCAGGCTGGCGAGCAGATTGTGAAGAGAGGCATGGGGATGGAAAGAATGAAGTGGCAGTTGATGTCAATATCGGAAGTTGAAGTTGATGCCAATATCGGAAATGATAGGTGGCCACATGTGAACCCTACCCCCCCCCCACGATTTCCAAAGGGGGTGGGGCTTGAATCCGCTCGGAAGCTGAACGAAGTGACCCCCCCCACCACCCCTAGAAATCGTGGGGGGGTGGGGTAGGGCTCACATGTGGCCACCGAAATCAGTCCTGACTGGTATCGCCGCGGACGTTGTCCACTTGTGATGAAAGAGCACCTGCCAAACAGCGGCCGCCCTCGGTGTGGGACAACAGTTGGGCGAAGATCAAACAGGAGCCTTACGCGAGAAGGCATAGCGACCTTACGAGGTCGGTTGCGCAAGCCGCCAGCGCCGCACGCCACATTGGAGACGAGGGCGCTTTCGCACGACCTTACGCGGTCAACTTACGCACGAACGACGGCGCAGACGACCCCGCTTTGCGCAGGAGAGCCCAGAATCGAATCGATACGTCGGATCGGCAATCGAAGCGTATCGGATCGGAGGAAATCGGAAGCCGCGTCGGGAGAAGTCGCATCGGCGGAAATCGGCAGAGCAATCAGATCTCACTGAGGCCTCGGAGTCCACATCGGAATCCGAGGCCGAATCGAATCAGAATCGGAAGCCATCGACGTCGAATCGACTCGAACCGGAGGCATCGAAACGAACCCTGTCGGCGCGGGGACACCACGAGCGGTCAGGCCTCCTCCCAACTTGCGGTGCCCTCGCCTCGGGCGTCCCAGGAGGGCGTCCTCCTCCTCTTCTTTCTCCTCCTCCTCCTCCTCCTCCTTCTCCTCCTCCTCGTCCTCCTCGTCCTCCTTCTCTTCTACCTTCCTCCTCTTCCTCCTCCTCCTCCTCCTCCTCCTCCTTGTCCTCTTCCTCCTCCTCCTCTTCCTCCTCCTCCTCCTCCTCCTCCTCCTCCCATCCTGGGGGGGGGGCGCTCATCGTAGTCGAACTCCCCCAGCAGTATCTGGAAGACGGAATTGGTGGCGCGGTCGAGCCCGGCAAAGTTGGCCAGCTCCTGCGGGGCGCGGCCCCCGCGGATCCGAGGAGGGCAAGTCACCGCTGCCGCTACCCTTGTCGGGTGCCCCCGGGGCTCCGGGAAGTGGAAGTGGCGTCGTGTGAGTTCGGTTAGGGCCCAAGGGGCCCCAACACTGGCCAAGAGGGCCCCGAGAGGGCCCCAAGACGGTCCAAGAAGGCCCCGAGTCGCTGATAGATCGTCCCAAGACGCCCAAGATGGCCTCAAGATGGCCCAATAGGCCTCCAATACGCCCCACCAAGAGGCCTCCCCAGAGGGCCCAAGAGGCACAAATTAATAATTTTCCATATGTTCTTGACAGATCTGGCGCTCGCCTTTTCAGCTTTCCGACGCTCCTAGACAGCCCAAGGGGTATACAAGACCACCCCAACCACAAGAAGACCATAGAGGCCTCCAAGAGGGCCCCAAGACGGCCTGAGAGTGCCCCAAGACGGCACACGTGGCGCCCAAGACGGCCAAAGAGGGCCCCAAGACGGCGCCAGAAGGGGCCCAAGAGAGGGAACACGAACCGAACATCCGAGCCTTCCGCCCCAAGAAGCCCCCAGGAGGCCCCCAAGAGGCGCCCAGGAGGCCCCAAGAAGCTTCAATCCAATAGGCTCCCAAGAGGCCCAAACGATGCCCCAAGAGGCTCCCAAAGTGTCCCCAAGATGCCTCCACACTGCCTCCAAGAGACCCCGAGAGGTCTCCCACGAAATCCCAACGAACACCCACTAGGCTTTCGGTAAAGGAGAGTACATGCGCAACTGTACAGCTTCAACTCCAATGCGTGATTGGGTGGCCGCGCTCAAAAACAGGCGGGGGGGAAAGGAAGGACGGAGGGGAGAGGGAGGGAGGGGGGAGAAAGGATGATGGAATGGAGCCGGGATGAGAAGCTGAGGGAGGGAGGTTGGATGATGGAGGGGATGTCTGACTGCTCAGATCTCAAAACGCTGTTCCTGGACAGATCTCTGAGAGCTTAGAGCGTTTCAGATTAGGAGCCGGCAGCGCAGGGTAGGCCAGCCCCTCTCCAAGGCCCTCGGGCAAGCATCCTCGCATCGCCTTGCTTGACCCTCCAACGTGTTCCGGCCAGCGTTTGCCGACTCGTTCCCAATACGCGTGCCTGAAGCCTTTCCGCAGGTCCTTCGCAGCTCCTTCGAAGCTCCTTTCGGAAACTGGCAAGCTTCCCAGGCATGCTTTCCAGCACCCTGGCAAGCGTCTCGCAAAGGCGTGTTCTCGACTTGCAAGCTCTGTGGGCATACATTCCAGCGTCCTTGCATCAGTCCCCAGCGTTTCGCTCGCTTTGAACCGCGTCGCTATGCGGGTTTAGGACGCCACAAGTTTCAAGCTTGCAAGCTCCCCAAGCATACTCTCGAGCGTCCTTGGAAACGTCTCCCAAAAATATGTTTGCTTCCGACTGCGTCGCTATCAAGGTTTTCCCAAGACCTCTCTGAGAGCTAAGAGGGTTTCATATTAAGAAGCCAGAACCACAGAGTAGCCCCGGAGATGGTTCCGTCTTTCGTTTCCCAGCGTCGCAGCGAAGTGCTTGAGCCAGCAGCGTGCTCTGGCCGACCTTTTCTAAGAGTTTGCCAATACGCGTGCCGAGAAGCTCTCCAGAAGGTCCGTCCACAGATCTTCGAAAAGCCATTCTACACTCTTCTGTCGTCCTGCTATCCGGCTTTTGGACCCCACGAATGTCAACCGGCCCCCCTGTGAAACAATCGAGTCGTTCCGTCTTAACGAAACCAAGTTCACTGCAAACTCTCAAGACTCCAGACAGGGGCGCTGCTGGTGGGAAAGATGCGAAGGAAGCGGATACACGTGATTGTTGCTGTTGCGTGGTGCACAACTGCTTACCATGCCCTCGGACGCTGCAGCCCTGCGGATGGAGAAGGAGGTGGAGGAGGTGGAGGAGGTGGAGGAGGAGGAGGTGGAGGAGGAGGAGGTGGAGGAGGATGGAGGAGGTGGAGGAGGAGGAGGATGGAGGAGGTGGAGGAGGAGGAGGTGGAGGAGAGGTGGAAGAACGAGGAGCAGCGAGAGGCACGCTCTTGAAGTTAGAACTCCTCGTGGGCCCTCCGTCGCCTGCCTTGCCTGGGAGACTCCCGGATGCTCAGAACCTCCAGCTCGTAGCTGATGTCCCCTCCGGGCGGGATGCCCCACGCCGGGAAGCCCTTCGCACCGTACGCCTCGGCCGCCGGGATGTGCAGCACCCGCACCTCCTTCTCGAGCATCCCGCGGGAGCCCCGGTCCCAACCCTTGATCATGCCGCTCCCGGCGGTGTACGCGAAGGGCCTGCCGTGGAGCGTGGACGCCTCCGGGTCGTTCGTGGACCAGAACTTCTCGCCCGTCTGGCGCAGGGTCCCGGTGGCGTGGACCGTCACCCTGTCCGAGACGGAGGCAGAATCGAGACAGCACCGGACCGAACAGGAATCGGAAATCTCGGGGAGTCGGCGGACTGGACGGGTGCCTCGGGCGCCGCGGCCGTGTCGTTCCGGGACGCTCTGGATCGGACTTGTCCCGACTCTGGGCCCGTCTCTTTGGACACCCGAGATGGGCACGGAAAGAATGGGCACTATGCCCAACAACAAATGTTGGCCCAGGCCAACAGCGGCCGCTGTTGGGCAGGCGGCCTTCTGTCTCGAATGGACACAGGCCGCGGCGGCGTGGACAGCGAATCCTGTTGAAAATGAACAGGAAGTGTTGTTGGGCATCGTGCCCATTCCTTCAGTACCCATTTCGGGCGTCCAAAGTCTCACCTGTCGCCCTCCTCCACGCTCACGGGCCCGGACCCCTCGCGGGTGATCTTGAACGTGGTCTGCACGCCATCGACTGCTGGCGGCGCGCACGAGGGGGCGCCGCCAGGGTTGCGCCACGGAGCAGCCCCTGGGCACGCCGTGGGGGGTAATTAGGGGGAGGGGGGAGGGGGGAAGGCTTTTTTTTAACCCATCGGGACTCGGGAGGCTCCTGGGGGTCCCAGTGGAAGGCGGTCAACTCCTTGGTCGAGCAGTCCGAACTCGGCCGTGGCAAGGGGGGGGCCCACTGTCCGAGGGGAGCTCCCACCTGCCGCGTGGCGTGCCAGGCATCCACGGCGGCAGCGGGGGGAGGGGGGAAGGCTTCTTAGCTGGAGGCTGCTTCTTAGAGGGCGCCGACCTCATCTACACGCAGATGCTAGGCCCGCGACTCCTAAGAGCTAAGGAAGCAGCCTCCATCCAAGAAACCTTCCCCCCTCCCCCCCGCCCCCCTCTGCGCGCGGCCGATCCGGCCTGGAACGGAACCAAATTAGGCGGGGCTATGCCCGAATCAGCGGGATTAGTCGAGGCGTTGACCTAAGGAACCCTAAATAAGGAACGAGGCCCCTATTTTCCAGAAGTTGAACTTCGATTTCGTATCGAAAGCCTAAGGAAAATCCAAGGCAAGCTGCGAAACAATTAAGGAACACGGAGCCCCTCCCCAACGAAAAGGGTTCCTTCTTCAGGGCCCAAACTGTATGCCAGATTGGACCGGTCTTAGATCGCGGATCAGAGGCCGACGTTCCCCCCGAGGCGCTGCATCCTGACCAGGGTCGTGGTCACTCTGAGCACGCAGGAGGCTCGTGGCGCGAGGGGACGTTTTTTTTGTGTATATATATATATATATGTATTGTCCTCAGAGGCTCCTCAGAAGAGCGGGGCGTCTCTTTTCAACAGGCACGGGCCGAAACATATCAACAGACATGCCAGGTCCGCGCGGCTTCCTCGGATCCGCGCTGGACCCCTCGCCGGTGCGCTCCGCTCGGAGATCCGGAAGCCGATCCGAGAAATCCGCTCAGACCTCCGATCGGCTTTCCCCTGGCAGTGGTGCCTGTGGGTGTGCGAGACTGCGTGCGGCAGGCACCTCGGGTCTCTCTGACCTCCGAAAGCCGAAGGCGCCGCCCCTGGTGGCAGCGCCAATCCGAGAGATCCGCTCAGACCTCGGAGAGGTTGCGTTCATGCGCGTGTTTGGTCCCTCGATTCTGGAAAGGCTGCCCCCTCGTCGTGCCCCCCTTCCCCCCTGAGCTGTCAGGACGTCGGCAAGACAATGTCAGATCTGGATGACTGATGTGTACAGCCGAGCCAGTGACATAGTAACATCCTTCAAGAGCATGAGACCCTCCGCCGGCCAAAACACCCCAAACCACAAGATCACCGAGGGTACTCCAGATTTCGTGATAAAAGGGAGGGGGTCTGGACCCTCCAAGACAAGCCATTTCAGACCCCCCCTCGTGGGAGAACCCTGCAAAACATCGTCCCCAGACCCCCCCCAGGCCCTCCAAGATAGCCTGGAAGAGACCCCCCCCGAAATGAGACCCCCCTCCCTTTATTACGAAATCTAGAGTACCCTCCTTTCCCCAAGATGCACAAGAACATCGAACAGATCGAACCGACAAGCAGAACATCGGGGTACCCTCCCGCACCGAACTCCAATCCTATGCTCGGTCCGACCGCCCCGGGGGACGCCCCTCCGCCCCAGTCCACCGATTGGGACTGCCGTTGCCCGAAGAAGCACACACTACCGCAAACGCGGCTCAAAACCCTCCAGGCCATTTCTGAGGCTTCGGGGCCCAATTCGGCGGTGGACAAACCTCCCTTTAGTAGACCTCCCCTTAGTAGACCCCCCCGCTGATTGGGACTGCCGGACCCCGAAGAAGCACAAACTACTGCAAACGTGGCTCAAAACCCTCCAGGCCATTTCTGAGGCTTCGGCAAAACAGGGCTAGGATCGGGATAAATCGCTCCAGAGCGTTCCAGAGCGCTCTCAGAGCGTTCCGGAACGCTCTGGAGCGGCCGCGGCGCCCAATACATCCTCCAAACCCGCCGATTCTCAGAGATTTCGAGTGATCCCGATCCGATGTTGTTCCGATCTTCGCGTCGTTTTATTCGGGGCCCAATCACTAACAGGCTCCCATGATCCGCCCCGTGCGGCCCAATTCGGCGGTGGACAAACCTCCCTTTAGTAGACCTCCCCTTAGTGAAAACGGCCTGGGACCGAAATCGACGGACCTGGACCCGCAAAAATGACGGCCGCGACGCCCTCTCGCGAAACGAAAACGGCTCAAACCCTCCAGGCCATTTCTGAGGCTTCGGTAAAACAGGGCTAAGATCGGGATAAATCGCTCCAGAGCCTTCCGGAGCGCTCTCAGAGCGTTCCGGAACGCTCTGGAGCGGCCGCGGCGCCCAATACATCCTCCAAACCCGCCGATTCTCAGAGATTTCGAGTGATCCCGATCCGATTTTGTCCCGATCTTCGCGTCGTTTTATCGGGCCATCTCTGCGGCTTCGGGGCCCAATCACTGACGGGCTCCCGTGATCCGGCCCGTGCGCGCCGCCAAGACTGGCGAAAAGCCCGCCTCGCTGTCCTCCGCAGCCGCAGGCCGGGGGGCCGCCCAGAGGCAGGCGGCCGCCGCGAGCACGCGGCGGGGCCGCATCTCCTAGTCGGCTGCACGTAAGAGTGACCCTGGGCAAGAGTGACCTCTGGTGCGCGGCTTTCTGGGGGGCGCGAGGAGGCCAAACACGAGCGCGCAGGACGCTCCTATCGCAACGAGCGCGGCGATCGGGGGACCCCAATGAGCGCGCACCAAAGCCAGGGGGACGTAAGACCTGGGTACAAGGGACTCGGAAATCCCCGACGAGGTCGTCAAAAAAATGACGAGGCCGAGCCTGCATTTTGACGAGGCCTCCCGCTGCAAACATCCCACGAAACTCCTCCTCGTCGAAATCCGAGGCGCGGTCGTCAAAAAACGATGGCGAACCCGAGTCCTGGCAAACCCGGGTCTTACGCTCCCCCTATCGTGGTCCTCCGCAGCGGCAGGCCGGGGGGCCGCCCAGAGGCAGGCGGCCGCCGCGAGCACGCAGCGGGGCCGCATCTCCTATAGGCTCGGCGCCCGCTCTGGGCAGGCGGGCCCGCGACGCCTCGGCCCGAGGACGGCCTGAGCCGCGGTGGCCGGCGGCCAGGCGGCAGCTGAAGGGGGAGAGAAAGGGACTTGAGAAGGGGCCGACCGTCCCGGCATTCCTACAGTCCTACCACGAACTGTTCTTAGAGCCCAAGTATGTTCTAAGAACAAAACCCATTCTCCTAGAACACAAGCCCGATGTGTCAAAACAAGACAATCTCAACCAATGCCCTGAGCCGCGGTGGCCAGCGGCCAGGCGGCAGCTGAAGGGGGAGAGAGAGGGGGACTTTCGGGTCGGGCGAAAGGGGGGGATAGCAAAGGGGGGGTTTGAGAATCAGCTCACGTAGCTGATTTTCCCGGCGCCTCCCGGCGCCGGAGGCGGCTATGTATCGAGGAATGGGCCCCTCGGTGGGGCCGAAACCAGCTGCATGCAGCAAATTTCGTAACCCCCCCTTTCCCAATCCCCCCCTTTCGCCCGGCCCGACTTGAGCAGGGGCCGACCGTCCCGGCATTCCTACAGTCCTACCACGAACTGCTCCTAGAGCCCAAACATGTTCTAAGAACAAAGCTTAAAACAAAACAATCTCAACCAGAAATGTTGTAAGACAATTTCATGGAGACCACAAAAGGTTCTTAGGACATTGTTTGGTAGGGCTATAGGCGAGCCAGGACGCTTCGCCACTGCTTGAGAGAGGGACGAGACAACGCGAAGTCTGCCGATGCCCTCCGCCATGGGATCCTCCGCCCTGGGAACACGTAAAGAAGGACTGCTTGGACAGACGCTTCCGGAGGTCCGCTCGGGTTTTTTGGATCGGCGCCTGCCCCCCCGCCCCAGTGGCGCCGGCCCCAGGCGCCGATCTAAGAAATGCGCGCGGACCTCCAGAGGTGTGCGTTTATGCAGCGTTTACTTGATGAGGAATCCTTCACCGCGACCGCCTCCCTCCTTTCCAGTCGAGTCCAAGTGCGTCCATCACCCCAGAAGAGGCGGTGCTGGAGGTGTTGAACCGCTGGCGTCCGCGAGAGCCTGCAAATGTCACAACCGCGCGCTGGCACATGCAAGCGTCTGCCAGCGTCTACCAGCGCCTCGTGGATCATTCAGGAATGCTGGAAGTGTGCAGGTTTTGCAGGTGTCCTTGTATCTCCCTGGGGATCTTATTTTGCGGTCATCGTCTTTCATTTCGATGTCATAGTCAAAGTGAGGGGGCCGAACGGTCATTCATTGTCCCTGCGTGCGTGGCTGAATGAGGAATTCGTGGTAAGAATTATGTGTGTTGCGTTGTTGTTGTTGTTGCTGTTGCTGTTGCTGTTGTTGTTGTTGTCGTTGTTGTTGTTGTTGTTGTTGTTGTTGTTGTTGTTGTTCTTATTGTTGTTCTCCCCGGCGGAGGCCGCGTGCCTGGCCAACAGGGAGGCACCAACTTACAGGGGGTTTATGCACCCTGTCTTGGCCTATCCTCCTCATTGAAATCCCCCAATCAGTGGCTCTGAAGGGATCCTAGCGGACATTGACGGATTTGGCGAACCTTTCCCGCTGATTTTGGTAGCCGGCTGGATTCCCGGGGTCCCGGATCCGGGTTCCCGGGTTCCTGGTTATTGGTTCCTGGCCCTCTTCGGTGGGCTCCGGGTCTCTCGGGTTCGCGGTCGGTCTCCTCGTCGATCTCTTGATCGATGCACTCCAGCCATCCACTGATGGGAGTCTTTCTCTGGTGTGATATCTTTCGGGGATCTTCTGACCCGGGTCAGCAAGAAACCAAAAAACTGCAGTGCAGGGAAAACAAAGACTGCAACGCAGGTCTTCGCAAACCCGGGTCCGCCAACATGCGCGGCCGCCTCGCGGCCATGTGCACGAACGGCTCGCCAACCTGGGTCAGCCAAAAGGGGTCTTCGCAGGACCCTGCAGGATCCGGTGCCCTGGCTGACCCCCGTTTGCATTGACCCCCGTCTCGAGGCTCCCGACTCTTTTCTTGCGCTCCGTCCCCCAAGACGGGCCCCTTGCCTATCACGGGGAGACGTAAGACTCGGGTACGGGGGACGCGGGTTGGCCTGACGGGGTCCATCATAAAAATGACGAGACGCAATCTGAAATTTGACGCGAGCTCCCACTGCAAACATCCCACGAAAACTGGACCGTCAAAATCCAGGACGCGCTCGTCAAAAAACGTCGGCGAACCCGAGTTCCGGCTTACCCGAGTCTTACGTTTCCCCGACTATCGGGGAGGTTCACGGGCACCGCCGGGAAGAGGCCAGGCGCCCAGCACGGGCACGCCGCGCCTGCCCGTGCGCCAGCCAGAGCCTCCCCTGCTCCAGCGGAGTGTGGCATGCACGCGCCAGGCCAGAGCCCAACCGAAACACTCCCCTGAGGACTCCCCTCCTCCCCTCCTCCCCTCCTCTCCTCCCCTCCTCCCCTCCTCCCCTCCTCCCCTCCTCCCCCAACCGAAACCCTCCCCTCCTTCCCTCCTCCCCTCCCTCTTGTTGGGCGCCCGAGATATATCCGGGGTAACTCGGGCCCAGGGTACGTACCTCGGGCTCGGACTCCCGAACAACGAACCCGAGTAAGCCCTGGCCCGAGTGACCCCTGATGATTCGGGGCTCTGATCTTGGCCGCGGCCCCCCCACGTGAGGGGCAACGTCCGTGTTGGTGCTGGCTCGAGGGGTCGGGGGGGCGCACATCAACTTGGACTCGTCGACACATCGCCGAGACGTTGGCTCCAGGCCTACGATCACGAATCCGTGCGGCCTTCGGCGCGGTGGGCCATCGGGCCCCACATCGGCGATCAATGGGAGATTTGGGGGTCGGCACGTCCTTCCCTGAACCATTTCCCGCAAATGCCCCTTACCGTCTGGCTCTCGGGTCATAGCTCGCGCCTCCGCCAGCCGTTCGGGACGATCTGGGCACCCCCTGGCGCAGCTGCTGGAGGGCATCCCGAGATTGGAGAACCTGCCGGAAATCGATGAACCGACGAAAACGCATGCGGCAATGCCGTGCCGACGTCGGCGCGGGTTTCGGACACCGCGGGGATCGTTCAACCTTGAACGATCGGCCGTTTCCGAAACCTCCAGTCGTTCAACCTCGACCGATTCCGGAGCGCCGGCGGCGCTCGACGTCGAACGCCAGCGGCCAGGTCGACGCCAGTAGGCACGACGCGAACCTACCATTAGGCCGGGCATGTCAGCATGTCCCCCTACAGGCTGATTTTGGACGAAAGGTTCAACATAACCGTAAACATTGAAGAACAAATCATAAAATAACGGTGGAATCGTCGCCAGACTAGTGATTACTAGTTTCGAAAATTCCTTCTGTAGAAGGACACGCCCGACTTGAATCTACTGTGCCGTGAACCACGCCGCGCCGCGCTCTCCTGGCCGAACAACATCATGCCCGACACGGTGTACACCGCGAAGACCTCCGCAGGCGCCGCCGGCCCCCCCGCCGGCGGGCGCGGCAGCAGGCCGCTGCGCTTGCCGTGGGGCGCCCTCGGCGGCCTCCGCGGACCGTCGGCGGCCACCTCTGGCCTGCGCGGGGTTCGCACGGATCTCTTGCATTTTTGGTGGACTTTGTGTATGTCCTGTTCAAATGCACGCGCCGAATCACGTCAACCTCGTCGGATCCGCGCCGCATCGACGTCGAATCCGTGTCGAGTCCGCGCCAGATCCGCGCCACGTCCGCAGCGAACCGGCGTCGGGCACTTGAGAAAACACCAATTTCGGGGACAGACGAGGCCCCCCGAAGATGCAACCTGAGCCCGGGACGGCGGAGCAGATCAGTGGAGCGACCTTGGGGCCGTCCGAGGGAGGCCAAATCTGACGAACGAACGACGCACACACCCATACCCATCGGAAGGTCGGAGGAGGACTGGCTAAGGGTATGGGTGCGGATTGTCGGATCCCTGGGAATGCTCCCGCTCGACCGAGAAGCCCCATCCGACAACGCGCACCCATAGCTCCGTCCATTCCACCTATGGGTATGGGCGTGTTGCTCATTCGCCCAATACTGGGGGCAGTGCGCCGCGGCCTGGGCCATGGTGCCATTCACGATCTCTGGGCGGGACCAGGGACATGCATGGAAACATAGAATCACGGCCGCACACTGGCACCGTTTAGGGTGCTGCCGAGGCGGCGCCGGAGCGCCAGAGCGTCAGAAAGCGAGGCCTGCCCATGAAGCTTGAGATCATGCCCTTGAGGCTGAAGTCGAAAACTGGAGGTGGAAGCCTAGATGGTGGCAGCTGGCAGTGATTGCCGTGCGCCTGAAGCTGCAGGCTGGGTGAGGCCCCGAGGACTGGTAGGGCGGCACGCCGCCTCAGAACATGCCGCGCACCTCCTCGCCCGAAGGAACGGCGTCTGGACCATCAGAGATGCGGGCAGCCGCGCGCCCGAGCTCCCGCGCGCCTCCACGCCACGGGGGAGGGGGAGGGGGGGGAAGGGGGAGGGGGAGAGGGAGGGGGAGAGGGGGAGGAGGCAAGCTAGGTGCGCTCGCGTCATATCTGACGTCCTACCCCTTCCTCCCATCCCTTACCATGGCGCTGATTTTCTCTATCCGCGGACGCGTGTCGTAGCGGACCTGTGGCTCCGCGCGCGCGTGCGTAGTGGGTGGTGGTGCACGTGCGTGCGTGCGTGCGTGCGTGTGCGTGCGTGGTTGTGGTGGTGGTGGTGGTGGTGGTGGTGGTGGTGGTGGTGCTGGTGCTCGTGCTGGTGGTGGTGCTGGTGCTGGTGGTGGTTGTGATGGTGGTGGTGGTGGTGGTGGTGGTGGTGGTGGTGGTGGTGGTGGTGGTGGTGGTGGTGGTGCGGCGCGGTGGTGGCGGGCGGATGGGCGCGCGAGAAAGAGGCCCGCGCTGGGGCGAGAACGCCATCCTGAACGACGGAAACCAAACACCGATCCGAAAATGAGGCCCACGCTGCAGCGGGAGCACGATTCGGAACGATTCGGGAGCAGAAATGACGCCGGCGCCTTAGCGAGAGCATCATTTTTTTAAATTTTAAAAAAGGAAGCGAAAACCCGTTTCCCGGGAATCCTGTGTAAAAAACAATACGCGGGGGGCGTTCGGCCCGAAAATGACGCCGGCGCCTCAGAGAGAGTCGTTTCCCGGGATTTCCCGGGAATCCTGTGCGTAAAAAACAATACGCGGAGAATGCGCGGCCATCACCCGGACGCCATCAGGGGAAGAGGGAAAGTATTTTCATATAGAGTAATTGTAGAGGAGGAGAGGAGGAGGAGGAGGAGGAGGAGAGGAGGAGGAGGAGGAGGAGGAGGGAGGAGGAGGAGGAGGAGGAGGAGGAGGAGGAGGAGGAGGAGAAGGAGGAGGAGGAGGAGGAGGAGGAAGAGGCAGAGGAGGAGGAAGAGGAGGAGGAGGAGGAGAAACAGGAGGAGGAAGAACGCGACAGGCTAGTTCCTCACCTCGATCTCTGTCTCGTCTAGGGCCTGTCCCCCACTGCCCCTCGTCCTTCTTACCCTCCGCCTCGACTCGCCCTCGTGCACCAAGCAAGCTCCTATCTCCTCCCAATGACCATGCCCCCAGCTAACTGCTGTTTCTGCTCGTGCGTTCGTGGGAATGGCGCGCCGCCTAGGAGCTGTAGGTGCAGATGTTGATGCATTGGCCAGGGTATGGAGCCACTCGACTCCCACGCAGCAGAAGATTCAAGTACTTACGTCCTTCAATATGAGTAGACTGCTGTGAAGGAATCGCTCCGTTTGGGTGCATTCCAGGCGCGGTGTTTGTGCAAGCTGCTGCGCATTCCCCATCCACACATGAGCATACTCTCGAACAACACCGTGCTCCACTGGGCCAAGTTCCGCCCGCTTCGCGACACGCTCCTCCGTAGACAGCTTTAGTTGTTTTGCTACACGACGCCAGGGAGCCAGGTGGCGCTTTGCGGTGCGCTGTGCTTCAGCCCTTTCCCTCCCTCCGCCTCCCCCCTCGCCCCGAGAAAGAGAGGGTGCCGACGAGCAACGTGGTCCCAGGATTTTTACAGGCGATGCGGCGCGATCCTCCGACCCCATCTACTCCGACCCCAGCTAGGAGGCCCAGAGTCGCAGGATCAGCTCGAGGACCCCTCTCGGGGTCCATCCTGGCTGGTTCCTCCAGCCGCGCCCAGCCCGTGGGGGCGGCAACGTCCGAGACGAAAGCGGCGACGACGACCACGACGACGGCGCCGACGCCGACGCCGACGCCGACGCCGACGCCGACGCCGACGCCGACGCCGACGACGACGACGACGACGCCCTCCTCGCCGCGGTGCGCGCGCGGCAGGGCGGGGCGCGGGGCGGGAAGGGCGGAGACCACCATGAAGACCACGCCGAAGTGGATGATGTCGGTGCTGGCCTGTGGCCGCGGGCTCGGGGGGGTGGGGGGGGGCGACGACCTCGGGCGCGACCTCGGGGGCGACGACCTCGGGGGGGTGCGACGACCTCGGGGGGGTGGGGGGGGCGACGACCTCGGGGGGGGCGACGACCTCGGGGGGGGGCGACGACCTCGGGGGGGCTGGGGGGGCGACGACCTCGGGCGCGAGTTTATGGGGGGACGACGAACGGGGTTGTGGATGCCATGGCAATGGGCACCCGAACGATCCCATCATTTAATCAAGGATGTGATTAACATGTCGGAAACATGCTCTACACATGCTAACGATATGTTTTCACATGCTTCAAAACATGTTCCAGGCATCTGGAAAGTACTTCGCAGCATGCTCCTTCTCCATCGATCGCCCTCCACAAGAATGGATGGAGGGGGGGGAAAGAAAACGGTGCCCTGCTCGGGCCCCAGAGGCCCCCCTTCCTGGGCCCTCCAGGCAAAACAGGGCTAGGATCGGGATAAATCGCTGCAGAGCGTTCCCTTCTCCTCATCCCTCCTCCTCCCTCCTCCTCCCTCCTCCCTCCTCCTCCTCCTCCTCCTCCTCCTCCTCCTCCTCCTCCTCCTCCTCCCTTCGTGTTGTTTTTTCGCAACGAAGGGAAGCGGGGAGGAGGAGGAGGGAGGAGGTGGTTCCAGAGCGCTCTCAGAGCGTTCCGGAACGCTCTGGAGCGGCCGCGGCGCCCCATACATCCTCCAAACCCGCCGATTCTCAGAGATTTCGAGTGATCCCGATCCGATGTTGTTCCGATCTTCGCGTCGTGTTACTAGGGCCCCTCGAGGGGGAGCGGCGCCTCCTCTGCAGCCCTCACTGCCCCCCCCCCCTTGACCGCCCCTCCATTGCGCGTCCCCCGACGCCCGGCGCTCGGTCCGTCGCCAGAGTCGGCCTCCTCCTCCTCCTCCTCCTCCTCCTCCTCTCTCCTCCTCCTCTCTCCTCCTCCTCCTCCTCCTCTCCCCTCCTCCTCCTCCTCCTCCTCCTCCTCCTCCTCCTCCTCTCCTCCTCCTCCTCCTCATCCTCCTCTCCTCCTCCTCCCTCCTCCTCCTCCTCCCTCCTCCTCCTCCTCCTCCTCCTCCTCCTCCTCCTCCTCCTCCTCCTCGGGCGCGGCAGGGGGCGCGACTGGGGCTCGTCAGCACCAGCCCCGCTCGCCGCCGCACGTGGGAGGCGATCGGAAACGGATCGCACGCGAGGTGACATACGGTCAGCCTGTATCAGAAGAACGCAAGTGAAGGACGCAGGGGCATTGGAGGGCCATGTCGACACTTTGCGAGCGGGGCGCGGCCAGCGAAAGTGGCTCAGGATGGGCCGAAGGGGAAAGATGCGAGGGGAACCTTGGAAAGTCGCTCATCCTTACTATGCGGGCTGACTGTAGCGATCTTGTGCGGTTGCTTACGCGGGCCGTCAGCGCGGAACGCTGCGTCGGGGGCGAGGGCGCTTACGCGCGACCTGAGGCGGGCAGCTTACGCGCCAGTGTCGGCGCAGACGACACCGTTTTCTTGCGTCGCCCACGTGGGCCGCAAGACCCGAACCCCGACAGCCCGAACCGCACCTGGACTTCTCGGGCGGGGCGATGGTGGAGGCAGCGGCCTCCTCCTCCTCCTCCTCCTCCTCCTCCAGCACAGCAGGCCTCTGTGCGGCGGCTTCGCGGCGTGACGACCCTGGCGCTGGTTTCTGACACCGCGCGGATGTTTCAGCTCTGGCACGGTCAAAGCAACCACACTTCGCGCACCGCGCCCCACGAGGCGCGGGGCTACCTCCGCGCCCCCGCGCTGCAGCCCTGAAGAGGGGGGCCTCTCCAGGCCAAGCCGCGATGCGCGATCATCCTCGCGACCCCGGGGGGACCCAGAACTCGCGTCCTGACGACCCTGACGTTGGTTTCTGGCACCGCGCGGATGGCTCGACTTATGCCGCGCCCATCGTACTTGAGGACCACATCCCAAAAACAATCTCGAACAACCAGAAAAGTATCGAAACAGTGTCGAACGAGTATCGCCCCCCAGGCCCCGACACTTGAAACACTAAAGTTTCGGTACGTTCCTGATGCTCGATTTTTTTTCTGGCGGTCAAAGCTAAAGTAGGTTGGAACATCACGAGGTTCGACCATGAAACGATTGGCGGCTTCTCGATCGCCAGGTCATTCCATGCAAGCCGATTCTGGGCCCCCTGCTGCGCTCGATCCAACAAGCCCGCGGCGGGGTCGCAACCGCGTCGATTAGGCACGAACCAACCGCACACCACGACCGTGCCCGTCCGGGGTCGTCCTGGCCTGGTATGGTATGTGTGGCGGCGCGCACGAAGTGGTGGTCCGTTGGGGGCGGCTGCCTGAGAAGTCGGAGGGGCGTCGTAGAAAGCCAAGGCCTTCTCAGAAACGCGCCGAGGTTCATGAGAGGGCATCGCAGGAGCCTCCAGGCGTTTCCGAGAAGGGTCGTGAGCCCCCCCCCCTGGCCTTCTTGGAAGGCTACCCCCTCGTGACATTCCCTGTATGCGTGCCGCCGACATTTGCGCGGCGCCCTCCTGGTCGAGGACAGCGGGGTTTGCGCGTCAGCCCTAGGATAAGGATGAACCTGGCCAGGCACGTGGGTGGTGTGGATGCCTTCTGCGGATCCTCCGCCTCTGCCTCCGCCTCCGTCTCCGCTTCCGCCTCCGCCGCCTCATCCTCCCTGAAACTGATGACGTTGGGGTTCGGTGACGAGGCTGCCCTCCTCTTCCACCCCTCTTCCTTCGAAATAACTCCTCTGTGTCGCACCCCGAGGCTGCTCGAAAGGGCGGTCTGGCCTTTCGCCTGGCACTTCCTCACCGCAGCTGCACGGATGGAAGGCGGGTCGTTTTCAATGTGTGGCTCTCGCCTTAGGGCCGCGCACATTTTTAAGAGTCCGCAAGAGCTTCACGGATGGAGGGCAGGTCGTTTTCAATACGTGGCTCTCGCCTCAGCACCACGCACATTCCTCTCCCAAGCTTGCAAGGGATGTACGACTGGAGGGCGGTTCCTTTCCAAAACGTGGCTCTCGCCACAGCGCCGCGCACACCCGTCTTACACGTTTGCCAAAGGCTCCACGGGTAGAGGGCGGTTCCTTCTCGAAATGTAGCCTTCGCCAAAGCGCCGCGCACAGTCGTCTTTAGAGCTTACAGCATTTTCAAAGATTCTCATGGTGAAAGTCCCCAAAACGCTGTTTTGGCACGGTGTGGGAATGTCAGGGCGCAACAGTGATGTTCATACGCTGTGTTGAAGTCTCAGAACTGGCGCTCTGGCACCATTCTGGATCGCCAAGACACAAACGTATAGGTGATTCCCGGCGTGAAGTCCAGAGAGTGGCGGTCTGGCACAAGTCTGGATCTTAAACAAGGCTGTCTTCTAACGGGGCTCTTCCCTCAGTGAGCATGAAATCTTGGAGGGGACTAGACAGGGGGAACCTGTAGGGAACATATCTTGCAATATCGTTGATGAGTCACGGGTTTACACTGGTCCTCCTCATCCTCCTCCTCCTCCTCCTCCTACACCCCCAAGCCTCCAACGTTCTAGTCCAAGGAGAATCGAAAACGGATATGCCTCCCCGTCTCCAGCCTCTAAAGCTCAATTTCTTTCCTGGTCCCGCGACCGTCCAGAAACGGCGTAGGATGAACTGCGCCCCCCGCAACATCTACCACTTCTCCCTCGCCCTCTTATCGCTATCGTCATAGCCACCAGCATCACTATACTAGTCATCGTTATCGTCAGAATCGTCATCATCATCACCATCGTCATCGTCACCGCCATCATCATCACCATCATCACCAAAACCATGACCATGACCATCACCAACACCGTAGCCCTCATCACCACCATCATCACCACCAGCAAGATCATCATCATGATCACCATCATCTTCACCACCACCACTTCCATCGTCAACATCGGCATCGGCATCATCATCGTCATCGCAATCACCATCAACATCGTCACTGATACCGACATCTCACCACCACCATCATCACCACTACCGTCATCTCACCACCTTCTCCTCCTACTCCTCATCAGCATCAACATCATCATCAGCATCAAACCTATCATCATCAGCATTGTCAGCATCATCACCAGGATCCTCCTTATCATCATCATCATCATCATCATCATCATCACCATCATCATCATCATCATGATCATCATCATCATCATCATCATCATCATCATCATCATCATCACCACAACCACCATCGCAATCATCACCATCATCATCATCATCGTCGTCGTCGTCATCATCACCACCATCACCAGCGTGATTGTCATCATCATCACCAGCATCATCATCATCATCATCACCATCGTCATCATCATCACCATCGTGATCATCATCATAATCATCAGTAGCATCAACATCAGCATCAGCATCATCATCATCATCATGATCACCGTCGTCGTCAACATCATCATCATCATCATGATTACCATCATCATCATCATCATCATCACCATCGTCATCACTATCACTATCATTATCATCATCATCATCATCATCATCATCATCATCATCATCATCATCATCATCATCATCATCCGCATCAGCGTCATCATCATCATAATCATCGTCATCGTCATCGCCGTCATGCCGCACTCCATCTTGCCTCGAAGGGATGCGGGTGAAGGGACGCGCGAGATCTGCAACTCGCCTCTCGGCGGACGCGCCCGCCGCTCCTCGGGCGCAGAGCTTCAGGCGACTCCCGGGCTCGCTCCTCCAACCATCGCAGCTGGGCGCAGCTCGAAGATGTCGTGCGCTCCCGCACGCACAGCGACATAGCTGGAAGGCTTGGCAGTGCAACGGAGTGCGGGCGACATTTCGCAGAGCAAGGTCGACTGGTGGTCCTGGGGCCCGGCAACCCCGCTGCGACTTTCCTCGAGGCCCGAAGTCGCAGCAGCAACCCTACCTCCTACCTTCAGAGCGGCTGCAGGCATCTTGGCCTGGCCCAGCGTGCTGGTGACCAGCGCGAGCCGCGGCTGGTAGGAGAACACCTTTAGGAACCTGGGAACGCACTGAGCGGTCGTGGCGGTCGCCGTCGCCGTCGCCGTCGCCGTTTCGACATTTCGCGGCAGTTGTCTAGCATGTTCTGCGAGCTTCGGGGAGTGAAGAGGAGGAGGAGGAGAAGGAAGAGGAGGAGGAGGAGAAGGAAAAGGAGAGGAGGACACACAGAAGTTAAAAGGAGGAGGATGTGAAGAAAAAGGATGACAAGGAGAAGTAGGAGTCGAAGTAGTAGTAGGAGGAGGGCGGGGAGGAGAAGGAGGAGGAGGGAGAAGAGAGGAGGCAAACCTGAAGACGAGTCATTCTCCTCTCCAGCTGGAGGGGAGGGGTACCAGAGAACTCCAACGTGCGGCTGAAGCAGAATGGATTGCTTGGCCCCCTCCGCTCAGACCCCGTGCCGGGGGGGGAGGAGGAGGAACAGGGGGGAGGGGTAGGGAGGGGGAGGGGGAGGGAGGGGGAGGGGGAGGCAGAGCAATACCGCGTCGCTGCCAACCTGCCAAACTGCGGCCCCAAACCTCCAACGCTGTGACTGCCTCGGTGTGTTGTGCTCTCCTCGAGTTCGGCCTTCAGGGTCTCGTTTCACAAGGATCGGCTATGTTCGCACTTCGCGCCGCGCGACGCACAAGGACTTCGCGCTCTCGCGCCTTCCCCCCTGGGGAGAAGAGATGGACGAGGAGGATGAGGATGAGGGGTCCCGATTGACTTTGCGCCCTCGCGGCAGCCCTTGTTTCAGGCCCCCGGGCCCTCCAAACGATGAGGGATGAAACATCTGCCCTGGGAATGGGGTCCAGAATTCTGGGGACGCCACATGGTAGTACCGCGAAGACTATTGCGACGCATTCGCCGAGGCGAGGACAAGTGGCTGCGAGACGTCCACAACATTTTGAATGGCACCAGGCAGGCTCCAGACTGCCAGCTCCGCCAGTCCTCTCGCCGCTGCTGACCCCGCAGCGCTGCTCTTCATCCCTCACAACCCTCCCCTAGGCCGTGCCTTGCTGAGCGCCTCGCAGGCCCCAGCCGCGAGGCAAGTGGGCCTGGGCTAAGGGGTGCCAGGGCGCTGCTCGGTCGCCGCGGCAATGCGTGGCCATGCCAGCCACAGACTGCATATGGTCACCCTCGCCGCGGACGCTTGGCTGTAGCTCCAAGGTTGTCCAGAAAGCGCTTGAGCAGTTCTGCCCTGAGGTGCTGCAGTGCCAGCTGCGGTGAAAGCCGCCGCAACTCTTTGGCTGTCGGCGTCGAGTCCCATTTTTGCAGCAGCTGGTTCGCCATCCATTCCGTCATCTCTGTTAGAGGCCCCGCCCCCGCTACCTTCAGAAGGACGGTCGAAACAAAGGCCCACCAGCAGCGCCTGAAGGAACAGGTTGAGGAGGATGCTTTCTGGCGGCCTGCACCTTAGCCTTGCGCTCCAGTTTGGCGCTGCCCGCTGCAAGTCTGCACAAAGAAATCGACCCCGAACCGAGATGCCGCCTTGCCCAGGAGCGTCGGAAGGGCTCTGGGGCTAACATCGGCATTGGCTGGGTCATGATCACCTTCTTGCTTGAGCTCTGGCGCAATCGCTTTGGCTGGAGCGTCCCTGATTGCAAAATCAATAGTGGAGAGGGGTCGGCGATAACCTTCCACCCAAGTCAAGGTGTTTCTGAGCCTCGTGAGGGTTCCTCTCGGCAGCGAGCCCACGATCTTCAGCTGCTTCGAGCTATTTCTCCTTGCCAGAGCGCATCTGGGGAAGATCATGGACGCTCCTGGAGGAAGGCTCCACAGCTTGAGGAACTGCGTCTTCTGCGGCCTGTGACTCCGCGAACTGCAGCACATCCGATGCATCATTTCCAAAACTCTTGCCAAACTCTCGAAATACGAGCACCACCAACTCCTTCTGGGGAACAAGCAGGCTGCCTGCATCCTTGTCTTTGGTACGTGGAGGTCTGAGGTCCACCGGCCCATCGCCCCAGAGGGGCCTCAGGCCAGGAAGCAGAGTGACCTGGGCAACGCAACTGCTTGAGCACACGTTGCGGCGCACGTTGCGGCGCACGCTGGTTACGGTCACGACAATGGCTTCGCCACATGAGACTCGCGAATCCACACCCTTGGTAAGCACAGACCAGAAACTTGTTCTGCCAGAAGGTGCCATGAAAGCTCATGGGCGAAGGTTCACGGATGGCTCGGGCCAGCTGCGCCACTTCCAAGTGCGCTGGCCCAAAGGTTGCAAACAGCTCGAGACCTGGAAATGTCTTCTGGGATAGCCGGAAGTGGGCGGAGGAGGGGGGGAGAGACGGGGTGGAAGGATGGAGGGCGGATGATCAAAGCAAACCAGGAGGACCGAGGAGTGGAGCAGGGCGGAACGGAGGAAGGGCGAGGATGTATGAGAAAAGGATGACAAACGCAGCAGCCGCATCAGGAACAGCACTACGAAGGAGAACGATATTGGGGGAGGGAGGAGGAACAGGATGGACGAGGAGGAAGCGGAGGAGGAGGAGGAGGAGGAAGGGCGATTAAACACGAGGAGGCGGGCAAGGATGAGCAGCTGGAACACCAGGAAGGAAGGAGCAACGACGAGAGATGCGGAGGGGGCGGGAAGGAAGACGAGCACGAGGAGGAAAATGGGAGAATGGAGGCGCCTGGACACCACCACGAACGGGTAGAAGGCGACGACCCTTCTGAGGACCATGGACTGGTAGACTAGCGACAAGGCCATCGTGTAGAACTCCTCCCGCCCCGGCAGCAACGGTGGCAGAGCGCGATCTCCGCGTACTCTGCAGGAGCGTTCCGCAAGCTGATCGACCGACGAACGAAGACCGACGGTCGAGAATCTCGGACGCCCGGAATGGGTACGGAAAAAATGGGTACGATGTCCAACAAACGGCGTGGTCCAACATCGACGGCGGCCGCTTTGGGGCAAGCGGTCTCCTGCCTTAAAATGGACACGGCACGTGGCAACGCCGACAACGAGCCCTGCTCAAAATGGGCACTGCTGTCCGTCTCATCGCACCCGTACCCATCGGTCGAAAAAAGTAGGTAGAAGCATGAAGTAGGAAGGCGTTGAAAACAGGTTGGGTGGCCGCTCGCCCCCCCCCCAGGGAGGACGGGAAGGGTGGAGCAGCTCGATCACTGAAGCAGGAAGGCGCTTGAAAAGTAGATTGGAGCCTGGGGCTCCCAAAATACTTACTTTCAGCGACCGAAGGGCACCCGATCCGACCGCAACGAGAGATCGACTCGATGGCCCTCGCCGAGAAAAAACTGCACACGCCCGAGCGATGCCAGGACCGTCCAGGGAGCGCACGGCAATCGCCGACGCGTGCTGGCCGCGTGCGGACGCTGCGGCTCGGGAGGGGGCCTCCGCCAGGGACGGCGGCTCGCGCTCGGCCCCTCCCCTCCCCCAGGGTTCTGGGCGCGTCGGCGCGCGCCCCGCGCGGGCACGCCCTCTGCCCCCCCCCTCCCCCCACGTCTCCTCCTCCCGTCGTCTCCTCCTCCTCCTCCTCCTCCTCCTCCTCCTCCTCCTCCTCCTCCTCCTCCTCCTCCCCCTGCTCCTCCTCCTCCTCTTCCTCGGCCTTCTCCTCCTCCTCCCCCGCCCCAGCCCCGTCCACCTTCTCCAACCTCCCGCCCCATGCCCCACCTCCTCCGCCCCTCCTTCTTGACCCGCCTCTGCTCCTTCTACTCCTCCCATCCTCCTCTCTGTCGTATCCCTCCAATACCTTCTCCTTCATCCTACCTCGTCCGCTTCCCTCTGCCCTCCTTCTCGTTGCCACTGCCCTCCTTCTGTCGGCAGCATGCCAGGGGGAAAATGAAAAGGAGGTGGCCATCTCAGGAGGCTCGGAAGTCACAGGGCCTTCTGAAAAAATGTCTAAGTACTCCCCGAGGACACAGAACACTTCTCAGAAGCCGCGAGGTCTTCTGAGAAGCCCCGCCACATTCTGAGAAGACCGTCCCCTTCTCAATTCTCCCCCCGCTCGCCGCCGACTCTGTCAATCACCCTTACACCCCATCCTCCACTTTCCCGTTCTCCCGTTCTATTCCTCATCCCTCCGTGCCTTCCTCCTCCTCCTCCTCCTCCTCCTCCTCTTCCACTAACCATGGTCTGCCAGACGGGGCGTGCGTAGTCGAAACCCAACCCTTGAGGGATCGACAGTGGGGGTTGGGGCAAGGCCCTGCACGGGGCAAGCTTGTGAAATCCCCAGCGTGAACGCACAGGAGGATGCGTCATAAAACACAAGACCCGCACACGCGGGAAGGAGTGGGGGACGGCTCTGGGCCCGGCAGCAAGACTCCTACCAGCGCACACCGATGTCCTAGACGCGCATTTGTTCACCATCGAAACCTCCTACGTAAAAGCATGTGCACGTTGAACTTCTCACCAACCCTCGAACCGACCAGGTCCGCGGATGTTCTGCGGTTGCCGCCTTTCGGTTGCCAGCGGAGGGTCCGCGTGGTCCTGGCGCTTACCACAACTGTCCTCCGGCTGTTGTCCATTGGCGGGCTGCCGACCCTCTGCCGACATAAACAGGGACCTCATCCTAGGCGGTTGATTGCACATGGCGGGCTATGCTATGAGTGTGACCCTGGCAATGGCCTCGCATCCAGAGGAAAGGGAGGAACGACCGGAGGACGTCCGCTTCTGATCGGGTAGCCCATGTTTGGCGTGTTAGAATTGTTCGCCAGTTGGGGGGTCTGCGCAAGCGATGTGGCACAATCAGATGTGCCTGCACCGATCGCATCTCATACCTCCTGGCCCTCGGCGCCGTCTTCTGTTTCCTCCTATGATGGTGATGATGATGATGATGATGATGATGATGATGATGATGATGATGATCGTCCTTGTCCGTGCTATCATGTATGATAGTATCAACGCCTTGCCTCCTCCTCCGCCTCGCTGTTGTCCTTGTGTTTGTAGTGTCCCTCCGTTTCCTATTTTGTTGCGTCTCATCAAGCAGTGATGCAATGCCCATGGTGCGTGCTAAACATACGTAGGTGTCCCATGCTCGGAACAGCATGCCCTTACAAGTACACAAACGTATTGGACGGGCCCGGTTGGAGTTGTGACGAGTCGTAAGTGGGTTGAACACCTCACTTCACCCCCCACCTTACCCCACCCCCCCCTCCCCACAGATGTGGCCCCTTGCTCTCGCACAGCGCTTCCATTTCGCTAGGGGGTCCTAATCCGCCACCGTGCTGGTGGGCACGGAGTGGGCGTGCTCTCGGGTCCTGTGCCCAATCCTCTAAGCCTCGATCCTCACTCGAGGAGTCCTGAAGTGCCCAGAGCCCTCGCTCTCAACTCTTCTGGGACCTCCCGCGTGCCCCCCCGGGGGCTTCCCGCGTGCCCCCTGGGCTTTGCCCAGTGGTGGCGCGTGACTTTCTCGGGCACCGAGAGGGCTCCAGGACGGGCCAAGAGGACCCCAAGCGGCCTGCAGGAAGGGCCCAGGAGCGCCCTGAGACACCCAACGATCGGCCCAAGATGGCCAAGGAGGCCTCCAAGATGGCCAAGGAGGCCTCCAAGACGCCCCAAGAGGCCTTCCAAGGGGGCCTCAAGAGGCAAACACCATTGATTATCCTCCGGCTTTCGATGGATTTGGGCGTTCTCGCCTTTTCGGGGTTCTGACGCTTTAAGACGGCACGAGAGGCCCCCAAGACCACCCTGAAACGGCCCAACAGGCCGCCAAAGGGCCCCAAGACGGCCCAAGAGCGTCCCAAGACGGCCCAAGAGGGGCCCAAGACGGTCCAAGAGGGCCGCCAAACAACACCAAAAGGGGCCCAAGACAGGGAACACGTACCGTAAATCCGAGCCTTCCGCCACAAGAGGCATGAGGCCCCCAAGAGGCCCCAAGACGCACCAGGAGGCTCCAAGAGGTCCCCAAGAGGCCCCCAAGAGACCCCAAGAGGCCCCCAAGAGGACCAAAAGATCCCCAAGAGGCCCCCAAGAGGCCTCCGTACTACCTCCCAGAGTTCTCCGAGAGGCCTCCCACGAGATTCCAACGAACATCCAATTGGCTTCATACCCACAACCCAGGCGCGGTGGCGGGATGGGCCGAAGGCCACTTTAGATCCGCCGCCCCCTGCTTGCAGGGGTGCACGGCGTGCTGGACGAGCTGTTAGGTTTTGGTTTTGGTTCTCTTTCCAAAAGAACTCCCCAGTGGGCTCCGGCAGAACCCGCCACCGTGCGCAAAAACGGCCGTTTCGCTCGGGACATCCTCAAAAAATCGCGAAGATGGCCCAAGATGGCCTCCAAGTCCGCCCGAGATGGTCCAAGACGGCCTCCAAAACGGCCCAAGAGAGTCCAAGACGGCCCAAGACGGCCCAAGAGGCCCCCCAGAGGCCTCCCAGACGGCCCAAGAGGCCTCCAAGAGGTCCTCCAGGAGAGTCCGAAGAGGGCAAAATCATTGATTTTCCCTTGGTTTTTGAAGGATTTTGGCATTTGCGCCTTTTCGGCTCTCCGACGGCTCAAGACGGCCCAAGAAGCCCCCAAGATCGCCCAAGAGGCCCCCAAGAGAGCCCCCTGATGGCCCAAGTGGCCTCCAAGATGGCCCCTAGAGGGCCCCAAGAGGGCCCAAGAGGCCTCCAACACGCCCAAGATGGCCTCCAAGACGCCCAAGATGGCCTCCAAGACGGCCCTGGAGCGCCCCAAGAGGGTCCCCCGTTGGCCCAGAAGGCCCCCAAAACGGCTCCCGACGGCGTCAGACGTGCCAGGAACCCACCAAGATGGCCGAAGTTGGCTCGAAGCTGGCCCAAAAGGGCCCAAGAGGCCCCCAAGAGGGCCTCCAGGAAGGCCAAAAGATGCCAAAATCACTGATTTTCCCAAGGTTTTTGATGGATTTGGGCATTTCCCTTCTTTCGGCCTTCCGACGGCCCGAGACGGCCCAAGAGCCCCCAAAGATCGCCGAAAGATCGCCCAAGAGGCCTCCAAGACGACGACGATGACCATCAAGACGCCCACGTGTTCCCCGAAGGCTTTCCAAACCGATTCGGGGAACACATGGTCCGATGGCTTGGCAGGTCTGGCCTGAACGTTCGGCCACATAGGCGCTTCCACAAAGGCAGGGGGCGGCGGTGATTCGCCGTAGGCGTCTTCGATCCGCCGCCTCCTGTTGCCTTGCCACAGGGGTGCCCGGCGTGCTGGTCGTTCTGACAAATTTTGTTTTTTTGCGAAGACCCCCTGGGCCTTCGGCATAGCGCGCCGGCCACCTGTCTCGTCGGCTTCAGACGGCCACAAGTGCAAGGCCCCCAAAGACTATGAAGAAGCCCAAGGAGGCCCTGAAGAGGTCTCCCAAAGGCCCCCAAGAAGCTCCAAGGACGCCTCCAAGAGGTGTCCCAAAGGCCCCCGGAAAGGCCTCACCTTTCTCCTCCTCCTATTTCCTCCCTCTCCGCATTACCTCTTCCTCCTCCACGCGTTCTCCGAAGAGTTCCCGTAATGGTTGGGGGATCGCATGGTCCAATAACCTGGTCCAACTTCTTCCGAACGTTTGCGCCCCCATCTCCCGCTGTGGCGAGTCCCAAAAAGCAAGAGGCCTCCTCCTTTCTCTTCCTTCGTTTCCGTCTCTCCCTCCTCTTCCTCAATCTTCTGCGCGTCGTGATCCCCTTCCGCATTATCAGCCAAGCATGCCCCGAAGTACCTCCAGACCAGCCGCGGAACTCCCTCGGTCCTCCCTGTCCTCTGCTTCTTCTCTCCCCCACGTGTTCCCCGAAGAATTTCCGCAATGGCTGGGGGAACAAACAGCCCGACAACTTGGCAGAGCTCAGGCCACAACGTTCGGCCACACGTGGGCGATCCCAAAAGGCGGGGGGCGGCGGTGATTCGCCGCAGGCGCCCTCGATAATGGTAACAAGCAGGGGGGGACGGGGATCCCCGCCCGAGATCGCCCGGTCCGGCAGCTGTTTCGCCTGCAGCTTCCTCACCTTCGATTGGGGAATTCCGATCTCGCCTCCACGCCATGTTTGGTCCTAGCACGATCCCGTGCAACAGATCATTGCACCGGCCTCGCAGACGTGCTGCAGCGGAGTTCTGCGTGGATTTTTGACCGAAACGGCGAGCGAGAAACGAAGTGAATTTCGCGTGGATTCTTTTTGGTCTTCATTCCTGGCCTCCAACAAATCGCACGAAATTCACCTCGAAATCTGGAGCAAAATCCTCCGGGACTCTCCGGGCCTGCCCTGTCGTTTTCCGAACGAACTCCGCTCTGCGATGTTGGCGCCACGAATCGGCGGTGGACAGACCTCCCTTTAGTAAACCTCCCCTTAGTGAAAACGGCCTGGGACCGAAACCGACGGACCTGGACCCGCAAAAACGACGGCCGCGACGCCCTCTCGCGAACCGAAAAGGGTCAATTCGCTACTCGACGTGTCAGGGCAGGAGGTCGGTCCACCTCCGAACAAAAATCCGCACGAAACTCACCTCGAAATCCGGAGCGAAAGTCTGCGGGACACTCCGGGCCGACCCTGCCGTTTTCCGGGCGAACTCCGCTCTGCGATCCTGGCGCCGTGCAGCAGAGGCGGTGCGGAGTCCCACCAGGGGGGGGGGGCGGGGAGCCCGAGCCCGCCCGGTCCGGCAGCCATTCCGCCCGGGGACTTCCTCGCGCGTGATATATTCAGGAGCCGTGCTCTCGCCTGCGTGCGCCCAGCTGCGTGCACTAAACACGTCTCCCTAAGGGGTGCTAATGGTGGTGCAAACTATCAGGGCGAAGAGCCAAGCTCTTCCAAGCACGCGGCGGCTATACCGAGTACCCTTGCTACAAAATATATAACACTCGGGGACCTGCAATGCCCCTCAACTCTTCGCCGGAGAACGCCCAACCGCACTCAACGTTACCCCTTTCATGCTCGCACTCTCACGACTCAAATCGCAAACGGGGGTGGCACGAAGTGCGCGAGAGGTGCGCCGAAATGGGGCGGGTCACCATACAGCCACTGGGGCCTTCGGTGGAGCCGCCTATGCGGCCACGAAACGTGTGAGGGGTGCGCCCAGATGGCGGGCCACCATGCGGACGCAGCCGCTGGGGCCTTCGGTGAAGGTCCCTATGGAGCCACGAAGCGCGTGAGGGCTGCGCCGAAATGGGGCGGGCCCCCATGCGGACGCAGCCGCTGGAGCCTTCGGTGGAGCCCCCTATGTGGCCGCGAAACGTATGAGGGATACGTCTAGGAGGAGCAGGATGAAGAGGAAGAGGGGAGGGAGGAGGGGGAGGAGAAGGAGGGAAGGAGGGGGAGGGGGAGGGAGGAGGAGGGAGGAGGGGAGGGGAGAGGGGAGGAGGGGAGGAGGGGAGGAGGGGGAGGGGGGGAGGGGAGGAGAGGAGGACGGCGGGGAGGAGGAGGAGGGGGAGGAGGAGGAGAGGAGGGGGAGGAGGAGGGGAGGGGAGGAGGGAGGAGGGGGGGAGGAAGGAGACGCGCGGTTGGGATAGACGCGCACAGGACCCCGATCGGCAGAAACTCTCTTCAGTGCAACATGTGGCCCGGTGCACTTTCGAGTCAACGTGTGAACCATCGGGACGACTACTCAGCATCACCCCGTCTGTGCCAATAACTTCAAGGAGTCCCGCAGGTCCCAGGCGTCCCACAAGTCTCACGAGTCCCAGCTCATAGTTCCCACGAGGCCCACGGGCGCGAGAGGCCCCACAGGTCCCATATGCCTCACGGGTCCCGCAGGTCCCAAAGGTCTCGCTGGTCTGGCTGGTCTCCCAGGCCCCAAAAGTGCCACAGGTCCCAAAGGTCCCACAAGTCCCACAGGTCCCATCGTTCTCACCTGCCGGCAGGTCCCACAGGTCACAAATCCCACAGGTCCCACGAGTCCTCGCAGGCCTCACGGGCCCCACAGGCCCCGAACGTGCCTCAGGTCCCAAAGGTCCACGGGCCCCACACGTCCCGCAGGTCGTAGAGGCCGCACAGGTCGTCCAACATGGCTCACAAGTCCAACAAATCCGCAGCTTCCATGGGTCCCACAGGTCCCAACGGGCCCGCCGTTCCCGCAGGTCTCACAGGTCGAAAAGGCTCGCACACGATCCACAGGTCACAAGGACCCCACAGGCCTAACAGGCCCCACAGGTCGCTCAAGACCCACAGGTCCCACAGGTCCTACAGACTCCACAGGTCCCACAGGTCCCACAGGCCCAACAGGCCCCACATGACCAACGGGTCCCACAGGCCCCACAGGTCACAAGGACCCCACAGGCCCAACAGGCCCCTCAGGTCGCTCAAGACCCACAGGTCCCACAGGTCCTACAGACTCCACAGGTCCCACAGGTCCCACAGGTTCCACAAGCCCCACATGACCAACGGGTCCCACAGGTCGCACAGGTCCTCGAGGTCCCACAAGTCTCACCGGTCACGCAGCAGGCCACAGGGGTCCTACAGGTCTCGTTCTGCTACTAGGATGCTTTGCTGGGGTAATTGCCTCGGGAGGCTTCTGGATCGACACTGGAGCATATCATAAGACCACTCGATATCAGCAGAGCGGGAGAAAGAGAGAGAGAAAGAGAGAGAGAGAGAGAGAACGAGAAACAACAAATGAGACATGAGCGCAAGTGATGGCCGAGTCAGGCTCAGACTCTGCGGGAGGAGCTGCGCACCTTGGATTGGAGGGACGGGGCGAGGAGGAGCAGGGCGAATGAGGGATGGGTGAGAGAGGAGAGAAGCGGTGATGAGAGGAGGGACGAGTGAGGGGAGGATGTGACGGGCGAGAGGGGAGGAAGGAGGGGAGGGGGAGGAGACGAGGTAACGAAGGTAAGAGATGCTAGAAGACAGAGACTGGGGGGGATGGACGACACGAAAGAGGGAGGAATAGACAAGCGCCTCCACCATTCGCAAAATAGCTGCTCGCAAATGACCTGGATCCATGGCGTCGAAGCAAAAAGGCTCCATTACATCGAATGACATTTGTTTTTTGGACGTTTGCGAGTAGGCGCTTTGCGAGTAGTGGAACGCGCTCGGTGAAAGAAAGAGGGGCTCATCCGTCCCAGCCTCGCGCTGCGCTTCCGTCGCAAAGCTGCCAGGCATGTCGGGGTCTGCCTTGCGGCTCCGACAGGAAGGGGCGAGCGAGCGAGGGATCGATCACAACTGGCCAAGTGAGAGGCAACACGAGATTGGAGCACCCTGTGTCATCCACCCTGTGGCAGCGCGCCAGGGGCGGCGCCAGCGGCGCCGCCGCAGGGGTTCCCAACTCTCACTCAAAACATCATCCGAGAAGTTATGTTTATTTTATCCCGTTTGTTGGCCGTCGCCTTCTCCTCCTCCTCCTCCTCCTCCTTTTCCTCCTCCTCCTCCTCCTCCTCTCGCTCTCTTCCTCTCTCTCCCTTTGTCACCCTCCATCGATGCATCCGTGTTGCGCCGGCAACGACGGCGATGCATCGGCGATGCCAGCATGAGGAAAATGGGGCTCCCGCATCGCGCCGCATAGTGCCGCATCGCCGATGCATTGGCGGCACGGCGCGATCCTCCGACACACCATCTACTTCGACTGAGGCCTAGAACCATCCCCGATCCTGGGGAAACCACGAGGTACCGATACCGCTACTCCCCAGGCCTTTCCATGGGTGCGCTCTGACCAGAATTCCGAGGCGAATCCAGCGGTGGCGACGAGGGCCTCCTGGGAGGCCCAAAAAACAAAGGCAAGGGACGGGGAGCGGCATGGGTACTTCTTCGTCCTCCGAAATCCCTCCTCCTCCTTATCCTCCTCTCCCCATGTCGTCTTCCTCCTGTAACCCCCCAGCCGCCCAACCCGATCCAGGGCCGCGGGGCGGGTGGGGCAGAGGCGATCCTAAAAATCGGCGCGGAACTCCGAGTCGTCCTCCTCCTCCTCGTCCTCCTGCTCCTCCTGCTCCTCCTCCTTCTTTTCCCTTGTCGGCCTCCTCCTGTGCCCCTCCCCCTGCCGCCCGAAACCCGAGGCTGGGGGACGGCTGGGCGAAAACCCGGCCTGCGTCAGCAAGCTCCGAAATTCTGTCAAGGAGCTGCAGTGCACGAGCCAGACCACCTCGCGGGGGGCGGGGAAAGGAGGGAGGAATAAGGCGAGATGTGGAGGAGGAGGAGGAGGGGGAGGAGGAGAAGGAGGATAGGATAAGGAGAACAGAGGGACAACCAACGGCGACAATCCGCCGACCCAGTCGGCGTGTGTGAGAGGCGCTTCGATGCGAGGCCAGCCTCCATTGAATCGTCGTCGTCAGGGAGATCGAACAAACAAGGGGGATCGAACAATCTCGTCGTAATTATGTCGAAGCGAAGCCCCTTCCCTTTTGTCCATTTCCCGCCGGGGGGGGTGAGGGGTCCGGGGGGAGGGGCGGTCCCAGGCGGGGCCACGCGGAGTGTCCTGGAGGTTTTGACCCCTGCCCCGCTGGGGGCTGTCCCTCTCGGTTGTCGCCTCCCAGACGTCCGCCCCCGAGGAGACATACTGCTCTCCTCCTGCTCCTCCTCCTCCTCCTCCTCTTCCTCCTCCTCCGTCTGCTCCTCCTCCTCCTCTTCCTCCTCCTCCGTCTGCTCCTCCTCGTCCTCCTCTTCCTCCTCCTCCTCCTCCTCCGCTCTCCTTCCTCTTCTTTCCCTCCTTTCTCCTCCTCCTCCTCCTCCTCCTCCTCCTCCTCCTTCCTCCTCCTCCTCCTCCTCCTCCTCCTCCCCTTCCTCCTCCTGCTCCTGCTCCTCCTCCCCTGCTCCTCCCTTTTCCTCTTTCCATTTTCCTTTTCCTTTTACTTTTTCCGTTTCCTTTTCCTCCTTCCTCCTCCTCCTCTCCTCCCTTCCTCCTTCTCCTCCCCTGCCTCTCCTTTCCTCCCTCCTCATCCTTTTCCTCCTCCTCCTCCCCCTCCTCCTCCTCCTCCTCCTCCTCCTCCTCCTCCTCCTCCTCCTCCTCCTCCCCTCCTCCCCGCCTCTTCCTCCCTCCTCCTTCTCCTCCCTCCTTCTCTATCCTCCTCTCCTCCTCTCCCCTCCTCCTCCTCCCTCCTCCTCCTCCTCCCCTTCCTCCTCCCCTCCCTCTCAAACCGTCTCCTTCCGTGCCTCCTCCTTTTCCCTTCCTCCTCCTCCTCATCCTCCTCTCCTCCTCCTCCTCCTCCTCCTCCTTCCCCCTCCTTAACCTCCCTTTTTTTTTTTCGCCTCTTCGTTCTCTTTCACATTCGTTTTCTCTTTTCTCCTTCTCCTCCTCCTCCTCCTCCTCCCCTCTTCTTCCTCCACTCCCTCCACTCCTCCTCCTCCTCCTCCTCCTCCTCCTCCTCCTCCCTCCTCTTTTCCTCTGTCTCTTTTCTGCTCCCCCTCCGTCTCTTTTCTCCCCCTCTCCCCTCCCCCCCCTACCCCCCCCTCCCCCCCTTCAATCTCCTCCTCTCCTCCTCCTCCTCCTCCTCCTCCTCCTCCCTCCTTCTTCTCCTTCTCCCTCCTATTCCTCTCCTCCACATACCCGTCTCCTCCTCCCCCTCCTCCTCCTCCTCCTTTCCTTCTTCTTTCCTCCCTCCTCCTCCTCCTCCTCCTCCTCTTCCTCCGCCCGCCCCATGTCCCCACCCAGCCTTTGGAAGGGTCATCAGCTCGTCGTTGTCGTCGTCGTCGTCGTCGTCGTCGCGGTCGTAGTCGTGGTCGTCGTCGTCGTGTTTCTGGGTCGGCGGCACCAAAGGTAAGGCCTCCACAATAGAGGAACAAAGAGCAGCATAAACATAAGCTGTCGGAGCTTCTCACGAGTTTCTTGGATCGGCACTGGGTCCCTTGGCGGCGCCTCCAGCGCCGCCCCTGGCGCGCTTCGCGCGTCAGGGAGGCGTGTTCAACGCCGATCCAGGAAATCGTTACGGAGCTCCACCAGTTTATGGTTATGCTGTTTTTTGTGTTCTTCGACAGGAAGAGGATAGGATAAGGATAAGGCCGTTGGGGTCTGCTGGTCAACCATGCTCGAATTTCCGACCCTTGGGTACACTATGGATGCAAGCCTGGACCCTCTGGCTCGTGAGGCTGCGGGCCTCTCCCTCAGCTGGTTGGCGGGGGACCCCTGCTTCAGTGTCGAGAAAACTGTCCCGCGGGCGGGGTTGGCTACCCCCTGGGGGGTGTTTTTTGGGGGGGGCAGCGCATCCACCAGCATGGGTGCTGGCCCGGCGCCGCCGCCAACCCGCTCTCGACGGCTCTCGCTGCGGGCCGCGTCCGTGACGAGCCGCAAGGCCGCGAACCGGGCCCGCGAGCGCCCGGCGGGGGCCTCGCCAGCGCCCAGGCCGGGCTCCGCGCCGGCAGCCGCTCCAGCTAGCCCCGCGAGCGCCCCCGCCAGGCTAGCAACGAGGAGGGGGCGGGGCGAGGGTCCAAACTCCCAACGTGCTTGGCCAAACCGTGTGCGGGAATCTTCCGCTCCCCGTCTCGGCCTCTCGGGGGCCTCGCGGGGCCTCCCTGCCAACCGGAGATCGACTTGGGATGGAGGGCAGGAAGGGTCGGGCCTCTTGGGGACCCCGTCTTGCTGGGCCTGGGAAGGGTCTGAGTTCGAGGAGGAGGGGAGACTCTGAGGGGCTCTGATGAAGTGGGCAGTTCGATGGCCCTCGCACGAAGGCGGAGCGGGAGAATCAGCATATGCTGCCTCTCCCCTCCCCCCACATGGAACAGAACCACCTCCTTCGCGCTGGCAGTGGTCTTGGTCCCGCCCCGTCCAGCCCGCAGGCGGGGCACACGGTGGCCTTCCCCAGAAAAACTACGGCCAGGAGAAAAGCGGCGCTTCAGACGAAACCGCCACGCTGCGAGCCACTGCCAGGCAGGCCCGGGGCAGAAGGCTCCGCCCGGTGTGCCTCCCAGGTGGGCAGACCCCGCGTGCCACCCTGGTGGGCAGAAGGCTCCGCACGGCCTGCACAGGCGAGAAGGCCGGGAGGGGCCGCCCCAGACTCCACTCGAACGGCGGCAGGGGCACGGCACGGCCCCTGAGAGTTCAGAGGGACCCCCTCCTCCTCCTCCTCCTCCTCCTCCTCCTCCTCCTCCTCCTCCTCCTCCTCCTGCTCCTCCTCCTGCCCTGCCTCCTCCTCCTCCTCCTCCTCCTCCTCCTCCTCCACTCCATCTTCCTCCTCCTTCTCCCCCTCCTCCTCCTCCTTCTCCTCCTCCTCATCTTCTTCTTCTTCCTCCTGCTCCTCCTCCGCCTCCTCCTCGTCTCCCTCCTCCTCGTCCTCTTCCTCCCCTTCCGAGACCAGGAGGCTCCGAGACGGAGGCGGAGGAGGAGCGGGGGAGGATCCCCGAAGCCCCTGCGGCCCTCGGCATCGCCCAGGGGGCCCCGCTCGAACGGCCTCGCACCAGCCCGTCTTACTCTGGGTGGGATATTAATCGAAGGGGTGGGCGACTAACCTTCCGAAGGAGCTTGCCGATCCCCCCCTGGACAGGGCCTCTTAAATTTCCGCGGCCTAGGTGGGCATGGGCCCAAAGTCACCAGAAGATCGCCTCCTCCTCCTCCTCCTCCTCAAACTCCTCCTCCTCATCCTCCTCATCATCATCATTATCAGCAGCAGCAGCAGCACCACCATCATCAGCATGATCATCATCGTCAGCATCACCACCACCACCACCATCATCAGCATCATCAGGATCATCATCATCAGCATAATCATCATCGTCATCATCATCGACATTATCATCATCATCGCCATCATCAGCATCATCATCAGCATCAGCATCATCATCGGCATCATCACCACCACCAGCATCATCATCGTCATCCTCAGTGACATCATCATACTCATCATCGTCGCCATCATCAGCAGCATCATCATCAGCATCAGCATCAGCATCAGCATCAACATCACCATCGACATCATGATCATGATCATGATCATGATCATGATCATCGTCATCATCGTCATCATCATCGTCATCACCAGCAACATCACCACCACCACCATCATCAGCATTATGTTCATCATCTGTAGCAGCATCTGCACCATCAGCATCAACATCATCCTCGTTATCCCTTTCATCATCATCATCATCAGCAGCAGCAACACCACCACCACTATCATCATTAGCATCATCATTACCCTCCATCCTTTTCTCGTATAACGAGCTCCCCCTGCCGCTCTCCCATGCGAGCGGGCGGGGCGGGATGGGGCGTCTCGGCAGAAACCTCCCCACGAGTTCTGGCTTTGAAGCTACAAAACAAGCAACAATACATTCACGGATGCAGGGCTTGCCGTTTCCACAACGTGGTTCTCGCGTCAGGGCCGCGCACACTCGTCCTGGACGCCTGTAACCGTTTCGCTGATGGAGAGCGGCTCCTTCACAGAACGCGGCTCTCGCCTTGGCACTGCGTGCATTCGTCTTGACCAAATGCACCAGCTTCACTGGTGAAGGGCGGTTGCTTTTCAAAATGTGGATCTCGCCTCAGCGCCGCGCGCATTCGTTTCAAACGTTAGCAGCAATTGTAAGTATTCGCTTGGATTCGTTTGGTCGAACATCTGAGGAATGATGCTCTGGCACGATTTGGGAGTGTCGGGACGCAGACGTCACGTTGCTTCGCCGTGATGAAGTTCCAAGGCTGGCGTTCTGGCACGGTCTAGGATTGTGAGGACGCAACTGCCGCGTCGATTCGCGGAGCCGAAGTCCAACGAAGAAGCAATTGACGACTCTCAAACGGACGTCTTCCACTGGGACACGTCTTGCAATGTTAACGTGTTTTTGCAAAGAGCTACGAACAGGGAGCTTCGAGGGAGGGTCTATTGCAACATCTATGGTGCTGGGTTCACACTGGTCCTCCTCCTCCTCCCGCTGCTCCTCCTCCTCCTCCTCCTCCTCCTCCTCCTCCGCCCCCTCCTCTTCCATCCAGCTCTTCCCACTCGTGCGGGCCCCTCGAAGTTTAGAAGCTGGGGGCTCTTTAGACGACCCTCCTCCTCTCCCCATCCCTTCACACTTGCTCAGATGAACTCTACGCTCCCCTCTCCCCGGAGATGGCCGGGGCCCCTGCGCGAACGGCTTTTCGCAGACAGGCCGTCATGATTATGTGTGTCCTGTGGGGTCTCTCAATATGGTACTGGCGCTTCAACGTTGGCCCCACTTTCGGATCGGCGCCTTGCCAGCGTCGTTCAGAGTGGCGCTCCCGCCCCAGCGCGAGCCACTCTTCTGGATCCGAGCCCCTCCTCGTCGTTGGCGCCCCCCTCCTGTCCCCTCCTCGGCCTTCCCGTGGTGGTCGTCCTGCTCCCCCCGCTCCGTCCACTCCGTCTCCCGCCCACGCTGGTCGTCCTCCTCCGTTGCCTCCTCCTCCGTTTCCTCCTGCTGATCCGCCAACTTGTCCTCCCTCCTCTCTCCCCTCTTCCCTTGCCACTCCTCCTCATGCTCTCCGCTCCCTTCCTCATCCGTCTCCTGCCTCGTCGTCCCGCCGGTGTCCTCCCCCCTCATGGACCAGAACCTGGAGGAGCCCTTCTAGAACAACTTGGATCGGAATGGAGAAGGAAGGGAGGGGGAGGCTCATGGACGGGTTTAGCAGTTAGCCGGTCCTTTAGGAAGAGAGGGGGAAACAGAGGAGAGAGGAGAGGGGAGGAGTCAGGGGGCTCAGGAGGGCAGGAGGAAGGAGCACGATGGATGAGGAATACGAGGAGGATGAGGAACAAGAAGACGCTGATGATGAAAAGAAGATACGCAAAACGACGAAATGGAGGAACAGGAGGAAGGACGAAAGAGGAGGAGAGGCAGGAAAAAGAAGTACGAGGAAGGACGAGGGAGCAATGAGCATGATGGAGGAGGGGGGAGGCGCCCCCAAAGACGCGACGGAAGACATGCAATCAAGAAACACGGCAGACGACATGTCATACTGAACACGCACTTGCTGCCAAAACAGGTGAGGCATTGAGTATGATGGCTCACAAGAAAGCACCGAGATGGTGATGGCGTAGAAAACATTCATCCAATCGATGAAGTTGCCGAGGCCCATGTAATTCTTGAAACCGGCATAACACCCGTCGTGCCTCATCTGCATGAAGAGTTCCCGGCCCTGAGCGAAACATGCTCTCGGCGGCAAACCCTTTCCGCATGCGCCTGGAGACTGCCACTCGGACCGTGCTGCGCGTGAGGTCCGGCATGTACCACGGAGGGTCCCCAGGGAGCTTCAGAAGGTCGAAGCGCATGCGATGCAGGCGGCACGCGACTGCCAATCTAGTTAACCTGCAACATCTACTCAGAACGCGCGCACACCAAAACTAACAATCGCCACCACACACCGATTATATGATCCGTACGTAGCCCATCTGCAAGCCCCCACCTTACAGTTAAGTGTATACAACCAAATCAAGCCTCAAGACCAAGCAGCGCTTCAAAACAGCACCGAACTGCGTCCTGGCTCGACACGCCTGCAACACTAACGCACGGGGAGATAACCCTCGCACTTCCCTGGAAAACGCCACTCTCCATTGTCAACACATGGTGACATGATCGGTCCAAGAACCCGAAACAAAGATACATAGCTACCCTCGAACCTGGGCAATTGAGAATTGCA